TACCCCACATCATCCCCCTCTCCACCTCCCCGCCTCCCCTGCTCTCTCTCCTGTGAAGGCTCTCTCTCCCACAGCGGGCCCGTGCCTCCGCAGGTCTGCCCTGAGGTGTGGCACCTCGAAAACCACACGCTCAATCTCAAGGTGCTGGCGGCGACTCTCCACGCGACGCTGCTGTGAACAGCGTCTCCTCACACCTCCAGCTGTGAGCAGGGCTCGTACGACTGGCTCGAGTCGGCAAACAAGGAGGCGACCAAGCAGGCGGCGCAGGCCGACACGTACATCGACGGGCTTGGCAACGAGGTTGCCATCGCCAAGGCCAAGAAGCCGCCCACCAAGGCGGAGCTCAAGAAGATCAAGAAGGCGATCGCCGAGAAGCGCAAGGGCGGCCTCGAGGTGTACACGGACGAGGAGCTCGAGGAGGCGGGCTTCTTGGTGGAGGGCTGAGGGAGGGGACCCCCTCAGCCCGGGTCAGAGTGTCCTCGCCGGGGCCGCCCCTGCGGCTCGAGTCAGGGGCATGAGGTCGGCGGGCGGCGGGCGGCGGGGGGGAGGTGACTGGCCGGGCGCGGCCGGCTTCCTCCTCTCTCGTGCACCCGTCCCCGCGGCCGTAGATCCTCGCGCGCGCGCCGCGCCGCCGCCGCGCGGCGCGCCGGGGACTACCGCTTGCAGCTGCTGCGCGGGCGCCGTCCTTGCAGGACGGCCCGCCCGCTAGTTATTTGCATAACACGTGGTTCGCTCGCCTTGGTTTGTGTTATAGATTGATGTAGTCCCGGGTACGTCTTCTCTACGCTCGGAGCCTTCACACCTCTCCCCGCAGCCCACCAATGGCTGCGCGCCCTCGCGGTCGCGCGGCTCGCGCGTCGCGCGCTATCCTTTAGCATTTAGAGCCGTAGGTCGCTAACAGGTAAGGTAATTTTTGTACACCCGTGCCGGAGATTACTCCTCCGAACAACTCAAGTTCGATCGGCCCCACAGTCTCGAACTGGCAGCCACTCATCTACGAGACTCCACTCATGCACAAACGACTCTCCACTCACGTACAGTACGCGTAGTACTAGTAGCTGGCGGGGCTTGCCCACGGACGCTGGCGGCGCTCGCCCGGGCGCTGCGTGGCGGCGCTCGCGCGCCCCGGTCGCACTGGCGGCGCCCTTCACACCAACACGACGCCATTGCGAGTTCTACTTCTAGGAACCGAAGCCGCGCGGCTCCACATCTGCCCTGAAAGGCGGCGGGCTGTCGCCCCGCGCACGGCGGCACTTTAGACAACTGACCGGGCCGCCCCGCCTTCACCGACGGGCATCTGCCCCGCCTTCACCGACGCGTCCGGCGCAGCAAAAGTGGCTCCCGACGCCGCCTTGGACGCGTCTGCGGCGCTTGCGCCGGGGGGCTTGGGCATGAGGCAGTTGAGGGCCTGCAGTAGCAAGGGCAGCGTGACGCAGCCGTAAAAGTAGGTCAGCGCCAGACAGCAAATCATCGGCTTGAACACGTAGTTCAAGACGAAGCCAAAGGTGGTCGCGAGCAGCAGGAGGATGCCGAGGAGCGACGAGAGGAACGCGAGGAGCATCGGCACAAACAGGGACCGCATCGCCGCCTCCGCACGCGCGGCGGCGGCGGATGCGCCGCTCGCGAGGAAGGCGTGGGTGATGTGCACCGCGAACTCGGTCGCGAACCCGACCGCGCACAGCGACGACATGGCGCTGATCCCGCTGAGGGGAACGCCGACCCAGCCGAGTAGGCCGACCACCGACACGACCGAGGCGGCGATGGCGGCGGCGATGAGGATGGCGCCCACGACGGCGCCCTGGAGGGCGTCGGTCGCGGCCCAGCCGAGGGAGAGCAGTTCGCATGCGAGGAAGGCGCAGGCGACCGCCACTGCGGCGAGGGAGGCGTACAGGATCGTCGCGAGCAGGAACGTCTCAATCGTGAGGTACTGCTCCCAGTAGTCGTACGGGACGCCTGGCGCGGGCAGGGCGAGGGGCGGCGGTGAGGGAGGCGGCGGGAGGAGGGCGGCGGTGTAGAGAGCAAGAGAGAGCGAGAGAGAGAGAGGGAGGGAGAGAGAGAGAGAGAGAGAGAGAGAGAGAGAGAGAAAGAGAGAGAGAGAGAGAGAGAGAGAGAGAGAGAGAGAGAGAGAGAGAGAGAGAGAGAGGCGGGGGGGGGGAGAGGCCGGAGGGAGGAGAGAGGCGGGAGGGAGGAGAGAGGCGGGAGGGAGGAGAGAGGCGGGAGGGAGAGAGCCACCGCTCATGAAGCAGTGGAGCGGGCCGACGGAAACGTCGTACACACCGGCCGCTCTCACCGGCTGGATGGCACCGGAGTCGTCACAGAGGCCGCGCGTGTTGCGGATCAGCGTGAGGTAATCCTCTGTGGTGTAGAGGTGGACCGCGTTCGTCTGCGAGCCGCCGACCTGACGAGATTGCCCGAGATTACCCGAGATGGCCCGAGATGATCCGAGATGGCCCGAGAGTAGTCGAGCCGTCGACCTGGCTGAACAGCACCGGCGCTTCAAAGGCACCAGGCGAGGCCTGCTTGATCTCTGGGCCGAGCAGTGCGTAGTTCGGGTCGTGCTGGAGCCAGAGGCTCGCGCACGTGTCGAACGTGGCCGGAGCAACGTCGAGCACGGGGCAGAACGCCGTGTGGCCCGAAGGCTTGTAGCCCGCGAGGGAGGCGGCGGCGTCACTCATCGAGGCGGGGTTCGAGGGTGAGCACGAGACGCCAAAGCCGTCCACTATGGCGCACAGCACAGGCGACATGTTCGTGTGCGCGAAAGCGAACATGGCGTACAGATCGCCGTCCCACTGCGCCAGCGCCGGCTCGCGCGCAAAGTCGGCGCAGACGCCTCCGTCCGCCCGGGTCTTAAGGCCGTAAACGTTTGGGTAGAACGTGGCCGTGCAGTTCGGGTCGACTTCCGGCCCGCACGTGTAGAGGGCGTTCGCGGGAGGGACGCATCCGATCGCGGGGTGCGCCCACGCGGCCATCGACGCCGTCCAGACAAGGCCCGAACGAGGGCTTGCGGACACCTCGGGGAGGGCGGCGACGTTCTCCCAGGTCCGGAGCATGCCGAGCTGCGAGAGTGGGTTCTCGTACTCGAGGGCGCCAAAGTTCATGCTGATCGGCCAGAGCGGGAAGTGCTGTGAGCGGTCGACAAAGTAGACCTCCACCCAAGTGTCGGAACGAGCAAAGTCGTTGAGCTCGAGGCCGAGCGGGAGGTCGTTCACCTTGACGGCGCACGTCGCCAGCAGCGCGGCGGAGAGCACTCCGACGAGCAGCTGCGAGGCGCGCCACTTGGAGAGGGCGCGGAGGTAGGCGCCTCGGAAGCAGTACTTGTCGGCGAGCACGCTGGCAGACCGTTCCGAAAGATCAGCACCCGCGTCCGCGGGCGCGACGGCGCTGCAGGGACAGAGCTCGCTGCGCCGGGACGCCTGGCGGTGGAGGTCAAAGGCAATGAGCGCGGGCAAGGCGGTCACCATGGCCGCCCAGAGCATCGTGACGGCGACCATCGCAACGTACGCTGTCTCGTAGACGCCCGACAGGTCCGAGCGCGCCATCACGGCGAACATGATCAGGTTGATGAGCGAGGTGAGCGAGACGGGCGCGAGAACCTCCGCCATCACCTCGCCCAGCACCAGCGCGGGCGCGGCGCCGCCGCTGGCGCCCCGACGCCGCTCGACTGCGTAGGCGATGATGAACATGTCGTCGACGCCGATCCCGACGAGGAGGAAGGGGAGCACCCACATGGTGATGATGTTGAGCTTGATGCCGGCGAGTGCCACCAGGCCGAGCGAGGCGAGGAAGGCGAGGACGGCGAGCGCGACGCCAGAGAGCGCGAGGAGGACGCGCGAGCGGACGGCGGAGGCGCAGTCGACAAAGAAGAGGGCCGCGAGAGCGCCGACCAGGAGAAAGTTGACGATCATGATGTTGATCGAGCTGTAGGTCTCGTCGCGGAGGGTCTGCGTGAATGTGCCCGGCACGACCGCGTCGTCCGAGAAGGCCGAATGCAGGGTCCGCGTGACGCGAGCAGGGTCGGGGTCACTCTCCCACGGACCCGCCTAGGGAAAGGGAAAGTGGTCAACTCTCCCTCCGCACACACGAGGTGGTGGGGCAAGGGCCAGGCAGCCCTCTCGCATCTCCTCGTCCGACGACAGGGGCCCCACGGCATTCAAAGTGCAGGGCCCGGTGCGCGTGGGTGAGCGGTGTAGCTCGCCTGCTCTGCCACCGCCGACTCCTCGAGCGCCGCCTAAAGGCCAACGGGCGCGGGGATCGCGTGAAGGGCGGGCTCTTCATGAAAGATGAGGTGGGTGTCCATTAGGTGCGCGCCTTCATCGCCTCGAGCACCTCCATCGCCTCCTCGAGCGAGATGTCTCTCGCCCCCCCCGCGGTCTCGGGGCGAGCCGAGAGGCGCTGCTGCACCGCCGCGCCGTTGGTGAGGACGAAGACTGCCTGCAGACGCGAGTAGGAGTGGCGGGCAGGAGTGGCGGGCGGTGAGGGCGGTGATGAGGGTTAGCCGAGGGGACGCCTGAACAGCGCCCGCATACTCATAGAAGCCGCTGGCGTTGGCCTTTGCGCTGCCGACGACGAGCTCCTTGTTGACCTCGCCGTAGATGGTGCCGCCGTCCCAAGCGAAGCACTCTCCCGAGACGGCCGCTCTCACCTGACGAGATTGCCCGAGATTACCCGAGATTGCCGGAGATTGCCCGAGACGGCCGCTCTCACCTCTGCGTCAGGGAGAAGGGCGCCGTCGCCGTCGCGCAGCTTCGGCTTGGAGTCGTAGGGCGAGGCGGGGATGAGGCCGGACTGGAGGATTGCCGCCGACACAATCGCGTCCTTTGCCGACTGCTCCATAGCGGTGCTGTTGCAGGAGGGAAGCGCAGCAGCAGTGCATCCTTGGAGGAGCAGGGTTTCGTAAAGGGCCGTGGACGGCTCGCCGCATGTGATGTTTGGCGGAGTAGGGGAGACGAGGCCGCAGGGGATCGTGATCGCGTCCGGCGCCCCCATGGCCAGTCCGAGCACAAGAGGTTGCCATTCCACGACGCTGCTTCCCTCATAAAAGCAATCGAGGACGGTCGGCACCACGCACGGCAGAAGGTAGGGACGTGCGGTCAGGCAAACGTCGGACAGGTCGTACGCGTTGCCTCGGACGTTGACCGTGGTCGCGTAGATTCGCGTCATAGCATCGTCGTGCTCGAGCAGAGAGCGCGCGTCGAGCATCGTGCTGTGCCCATCGCGTGCGCGGGCCAGAACGAGAAGGTTTGTCGTCACTTCTCCTGCGCCATTCTCGATGCGGTACTCCCTGTCTGCCGCATAAGACGACCTGTCGGGAATCCAAAGCTCAGCGACGCTGTCTTGGATCTCGAACTGCGGGAAGCCGGCGCCGATCAGGATTGTGAACGTGATCGGCGCGAGGAGAGCGAGGGCCGAGCGGAGTTGGAGGTTGCTGCCGAGTGCTTGGCCGTACGAAGAGGCGAGCACCATCTTGGGGAGGCTCTGAACGTCAAGATGGCGTGGCGCTTGGCGACGAGGACTGCGCTGCGAGCGCCGAGTTTGCTGCCTTGGGCTGCGCTGCCCGATTTGGCGAGCACCTCCGGCTACGAAACACATGATTAGTCACGTGAGTACATTTTTTCTTTTTTCTACCAGCAAGAGTTGGGAGAATAGTCATTCTTCTTGTTGGGATACCAGTCCCATTCTGTTCCGCGATAGCCGGCCGCGCGACCTTCCTCGTAAGAGTAGCCAGCCCTGTGGCACTCAAAGGGCGAGTAGCCCGCCGCCTTAATCTCCTGAAGCGCGAAGCCCGCCGCCTTGAGCCCAAGACTCCATCCAATTGAGTAGCCCGCCGCCTTGGCCTCCTGCGGCGAGTAGCCCGCCGCCTTGGCCTCCCTTGCCGCCCGCAAAGCTGCCTGGATCTGTGCCGCCGAGTAGCCTGCCTGTGTGACCTCAACCTTTGTGAAGCCTCCGCGGATCACATCTACAAGCGTGTAGCGCACCGACATGACGTCTTGGATCGAGAAGCCCACCGCCTTGAGGCCCTCAACAAAGCCCCACGCCTTTGCCTGTGCTATGGTCATCGTATAGCCTGCTGCATTCGCCTCCTTCGCCGTGTAGCCGTCTGCCTTGACTTCCTCCATAGTGTAGCCCGCCGCCTTGGCCTCTGCGCATGAGACGCCAGCCGCCTTGAGCCCAACCACGTGGCCTTTTGTACGCAGCTGCTTGAGCGTCAACCCCGATAAGAGGTCGGCCTTCAAGGCCTCCGCCTCCCTCCGCCTCGCCAACTCTGCCCTCGCCCTCGACTCCTTCTCCGCCCGCGCCTTAAAAGCCTCATCGGACTCGACAAAGAGACCAAACAGGTGCTGCTTCCGCGAAATTGGGCCGTCGGTGTCCTCGGCAGTCTCGAGCTGGGAGCTTGGCGCCACGAAATCAGCCTTCTGGCTCTCCTCTGCCGCCTTGAGCTCAGCACAGGAGTAGCCAGCGCGCAGCAGCTCAGATTGCGAGTAGCCTGCCTCCTTGGCCGCTTGCAGCGAGTACCCTGCAGCCTTGAGTCCCTCGACATAGCCCGCAGCCTTCGCATCCGCGCAGGTCATACCGCACAGCCGCTGCACCTGCACCTGTAGCTGTTGCACCAGATCCCTCAGCTCGGAGTTCTGCGTCTCGAGCGCCTCTACGCGAGTTTCCAGCGATTGCACTGCCTGCTTGGATTCCGTCGCGAGACGATCGCACACTTCGTCAGCCTCATCCACGCGCGCCAGCGCATGCCCGACGAGCATCTCCAGCGTCGGCTGCATGCTCTCTTCGGCGACACGCGGCATGGGACGGACGAGTCTCGGCGAGGACCGGCGGTTTGGAAAAGAATTTTACAACAAAACTCCCTCGCACGACACTGGGCACAGGACTGGGCACGGGGAGAGCGGCATTGTGCATGGTGCGGAGTGCATTGCCGTTCTTAACGGAGTCGCTTAGGCGGCTCCGGTGGTGAGCCTGTGTGTGTGCCAGTCCGCGCCAGTCTGCGCCCTTGTCGTGCCAGTGTGCTGTGAGAGAGGCTTGGGGCTTAAGAATTCTTTTCGTCTTGAGCAGCTCTCCCGACGGTGCTCTCTTCGTCTTGAGCAGCTGGGGCTGAGCTCTACATGAAGCTGTTCGCGGCCCTGTTCCTCTTCACGTCGGCCGCCCTTGGGCTGGTTGCTCCTCGGCCGGCGCAGCGCGCTGTCTCCCACACCCATGCGCCGGCGCTCCTGATTGGTGCATGGACGCTTCCGACACGCTTTCCTGCCTTCGCCTCCCCACCTCCACAGGCGCCTCTGCCTCTGTCCCGCTCACGCGGTCCGCGACATGCCCACCGACAGGCGCGAGTCCTGCTCGGCCGACTCTCGCCGCGTCGCGCTCGCTCGTCCTGCTGCAAGAGCCGGATGGCGTCGCAGAGGCGAAGCTGACGTGGAACACGGCAATCGACGCAGAGGGCAACACGTACTACTGGAACTCGGCGGGCGCGTCGACGTATGAGCAGCCGGCCGACTTCGACCCGGCAACCGCCAAGAGCAGCGGGGTCTACCAAGCCAAAGGCAACGATGGGGCGTTGTACGACGACGAGGTTCCGGAGGGGCAGCAGGTCGTCTACACTTCTGGGGAGAAGAAGCCCACGCTTAGCAACACAATGCGCGACAAAATGATCGCCGAGTCGCGTGGCCTCGGCGCGGACCCGAACGCGAAGAATCCTTTCCTACCCGTGTTCTTCGGCGTGGGCGTTTTCGTCGTGCTCGGTGCCCTTACACAAATCTGAGCCGCCCGCGCTGCCACGTGCAGGGGAGTGCATTACGCTTTACGGTGGCTAGCCCGGTCCTCCTCCCAGATCCGCGACTCTTCGCCCGCCCGCGAGAGATTGGGCTGCGAGTTCCGAGAGTTGACTCGGGTGGTGGGTGTGTGCACGCGGCCCCCTCTGTTGATTGTTTTTGTCATTTTGGATTTTGAGCATGTGTACTGTCGTTCATACAGCCAATCTCATCACGCGCGCGGCACCGTGTGAAAGCATTGACGATGACGTTACGCCCGCGGGCACAATCCCCTCTCCCGACTCGAGCCTCGCCAGCAGCTCCGCGTCTCCTCGCATCCGGCTGACCGCCAAGCAAACGTCATCGCCGCCGGTGCTCTCTCAGACCATCGAACCTGAAGCGTGGCCCCACCTTGGTCCAGCCCTGCAGGCAGAGAGGCGGCGGTGGAGGCCGCCGCCCGGCGCATTCAACGAGGAGAGGTGGGGCGCCCGGCCGCCTCCGCCGCGGCACTCGACGCCCGGCCCCGCCAGCTACTCGCCCCACCTCTGCACCTACCTGTCAACCCGGTCGGGTACATTTTATAGATGCAGATTTCAGATGCAAGTAGCGAGGACCACCAGCCCTTACCCACAAGCTCCGACACAAATACTCGGCACCCTCCATAGGCTCCGCTCGCTCGTGGTCTGGCAGATGGAGCGTGGAGGACCGCGGCCGCTACCTTGGCCAGTGCGCCGTCGAGCAGACGGCGAGCGGGATGGTTGGCCGGGGCATAGCCTTGCAATCCTCGGGTCCTGGACCTACGTACAGGCCACCCGACTCGGGCACAAGGTCCCCAACCCGCCCGTCGACAAGCACGAGCGTCGCCAGTGCGAGTGGCCGGCCCACACAGCCTGCAGGGCTCGGCACGACCTCGCCATTCGGCACCGCGCGGCCCGTCTCTGCTTGCAGCATTGCGAGGCAAGCACCGCAAAGTCATGACACGCCTGTCAGTCCCGCGGCGCTCCCCATGGCGCCCCCTCCCAAGTCCCAACCACCGTCCGATCCACCCTGTGTGCGCCCCCGCAGCAGCGGGAGGGCCACTTCGACACGCCGCCCAGTCGCCCTGCCGCTCAACGCGCCTGGTCCCGGCCCGGGTGCTTACTCGCCCGACGCTCAGAACGCTGTCCTCTCAACCACGCGCAATGCGAGAGCGGCGAGTGTTGTGACAGCGGCAGTGGCGAGCAGCGTCTCTTTACATGTGCGGCTGTGGACAGGTACGCGAGTGCTGCTTCGCCAGAGGGCAGCGCCGCTTCGCTGGGATCGGGTCCGTGTACGGGGCACCGCGCGCAGCGCATGCAGCGCCCTTCTACAATCCCTCCGACAGTGCAGTGCGGAGGAGGGGCGCACGCGCCACGGTTGGGACCGCGAGGAGGTTCCCTCGGGATGGCTAGCATGAACAGCTCGCACATGCCTCCACGGGAGGGGTGACTTAGAGGGGTGAGCGGAAGAACCAGCAATAAGAGCGACGTGTAAACTCGACAATCGACAATGTCGCTCACGCTAGATCACGCTCACCGCACGCGCGCGAGCCGAGCGCGCTCACGCGGACACCGCACACGAGGATGCACGCGGTCCGTCGTGCCATGTTCGACCCCAAACCTCACTACCCCAGGGGCACGCCCCGATGTTTTGTCTTTTACGTACAGTAGTCGAGCAGACACGAGGCACTCTCGCCTAGTTTGTTTATCACACTATCTTGGTGGCCGTCCGGAGCAGCATCGAGAGCAGCATTTCACCGCCAAAGGAGGCGAACCCCGCGTTCCACAAAAGAGCTATCATGCGAGATGCCCATCCCAGCCCCTGCACCTCGTCGTGATGCTGGTAGGAGAGCATCACGAGCATCAGCGAGTTTAGCAACAGATGCTCCGCGACGCCAAGCTCATTGACGAGTTTCCACGGCTTCAGCTCTCGCCGAGGCGCGTTCAGCTGGTTCTGCCAGCCCGGCGCGCCCGCGTAAGTCTCCATAACCTTTGCACTCAGCTGGGAGCTAGCCATTCGGTAGATGGGCAGGCGCCGCTGATGACCAACAAATAGCGCGAGCGCGAAGCATGCGCAGAGCTTGGTGTACCATTCTCTGCGAAAGAGGCCGCTTATGGATGGGGCGACTATGAGCAGAAGCGCACCCAGGAGGTGCGCAGCCATGAGCAATCGAACCGCGGGCCTGTTTCTTGCCGGGAGTTTCGACACGGCGTGCCTGTAGGCCGCGGGTGTCATCCATTCCGCTTCCGTCCCTGGCGCTGCGAAGGCCGTGGCGTAGTCGCGCAGCGGAACCGGATTGCCAGCAAGCAGAATGAGGCCAGCCGGAGGGAGGTAGGAGAGGAAGTCGGCGAAAGTCTCTGCAGCCTGCACCGGATTGCTCGTGCTGGTTAGGATCGTCCAGGCATGGACTCCTCCGGCTAGCAGGCTGAACCCCGCCCAGGTCGCCGCTCGCCGGAGCCAGGTGTAGTTGTTGGCGCAAGAGATGGGCGGAAAGAGCACGGGCCCGCCGGACGCGTGGTAACCGATGTACGGCAGGTACATCACTCCGAGCTGGACCAGCCCGAGGAGGAGTCCGAGCATGTCCATGTTCGGGCGTAGCGCGCATAGCTGGCGCGCTCGCCGCGAGACAGAGACTGCCAAGGCCCACGACAGCAGCGTCGCGGCCAAGTGCGCCAACAGCTTTGTTTCAGTGGACTCTAGACGCCAGCGTGACAGGCGCGGAGAAGGCATGCGGCCAAGAGGCACGAGCGGCGCAGGACTGGCACGGACGAGGCACCAACGCCTGCCGGGCTCAAAGACTTGGGTAGGCACGTAGTTTCGCTCGTCGCCCCCCCCCCCCCGGGGGGGGGGCGACAGGCTGCGGATGCCGTCGGCTGCTCACCTCGCTGTGCTCTGCCACCTCCTCCTCCTCCTCCCGCTCACGAAAGGGGTGGAGTTCCTGCCGCGCCGAGCCTTCGGGCAGCTCTCGCGCAGGGCATGTCTGGCGGCACCGCTGACTGCCGTCGCCTTCGGCCGACCGCCGACTGCCGCCGCCTCGGGCGATCTCAGTGCCGCCGCCGTCTCGAGCGGTGACGACCTTGCCGTGATATCGACGGCGCGGAAGTTGGACGGCGTGCTTGCCGATTGGGACGCCGAGATTGCCCTCGTTCAGCTCGGCCGGCAGGCGAACCCGACACTTCGCCCTGCCTCCATCTGGCCACGGAACGACGCCTCTTTCCCTCCCCTCGGCCGACAGGGCGCGTTGCAGTCGTCAGCCAACCTGCTGCAGGAGGATGCGCTGAAGCGGCTCGGCGCAGGCGCGAGGGCGGCCGGTGGCGGTGAGAGCAGTGAGAGCGGCGTCTCGTCACACCGCCCCGTGTGCCGTGAGCAGGCGCCGCCGGCGCGAGCTTCACGCAGCACAAGAACGCAATGCTGACTTACCTCTTCCTGGTCACCGGCGCGACCAAGTACGAGGGAGCCGAAAAGGCGGCCGGGACGTGGAGATGTATCCGAGAGGTGGCCGCGCTGTGGCCGAGATGGAGCTGTGGCGAGGGTCGATAAGACCTGTGGAGGCCGCCTCGACATGTCCACGACGTGTGCGCGTCATGTCCGCGACGTCTCGGATAGGCTGCCGGCTACGCGCGCGACGCGAGGAGGGAGGCGCTGGCGGCGCGGCAGGCGAGTACAAGTAGAGGAAGAGCGCCGACGCCCGACGAGAGGGTAGATCCTCTGGTGGCCGCAGCCAGTCCTCGGCTAGACGTCGGCTGCATCTCCGTTCAGGCGCTCGACGAGGTGGCGCGAGCCGTGGGCATCGAGCTCGCATCAAAGCCGGCGGCGGCTGCCTCAGACTGAGGGCGCTTGGGCGCGGGGAGCGGCATCCCGCCGCGCGCCGGCTCCGGGACCCGGCTTCCGCTCGCCACACAAACATGCAATAAAAGTAATACTTCTCGACTTCCAACACCCGGACGTGCTCCATGCTACCACCCACTCAACTCTCAAGACACACGCTCAATACTGCAGAGTGCATGTCACGTACCATCGCGATTCGCGAAACACGACCCGCAACAACCCCCGGGGGGCCAGGTGCCGGCCAGCGCACAACTCAGCGTGGTTCACGACACCACAAGGACAGCCGATGCAGCCGCCCTCGACGAAGCGCAAGCGCGCACATGCATTACATCGGGCTCGAAACGTATTGCCCATCGCACAACTAGATGTGTAGCCTACCGCGGAACTCCCAACAGAACTCGTCACGCGTACGTCCCCGCTCGCGCCTGCTCCTTGATCTCGCGCAGGAACTTGCAGAGCGCGTCGATGTGCTGCCGCACCGCCGCGTCGGCCGCCGCTCCCCAGTTCCGTCGGAGCGGGCCGCCATCGCGCATGCAGGAGAGGGCGTAGTCCACGGAGAGCTCGCCCTTCTTGATCCTTGCCAGCTGCTCCTGCTGGTTTTTTTGCACGCTGTTTGCCTTCGCCACGAAGATCTTTGTGGTGAGCGGTTGGCCGCTCGGCGTGGGGTCGCCTGGCTTGCCCTGAATGCGCAGGCCGCAGGCCCACGTGGCGGCCGCCTCGCCCCCCTGTGTGCGCGCACGCTTCGGGGCAGGTGTCGGCGCACTGCGCGCCGCGTCATCCGCGCCGCGCTTCTTCGTCGCGGCGTCGCCGTCGTGGAGCAAACCGAGCCGCTGCGCGACCTGCCTCGCGACGTGCTCGCGCAACGCCGCGACGTGCGCGTCGATGTCCTCCGCGGACGCGCCACTCACCCTCTGCTTCCACTTGGTCGCCAGCGTTGGACGACCGGGCCCGTTGATCGGGCCGTGGAAGTTTGGCATTCCGTCGGTCAGCCGCGAGAGGCATTGCGCAGCGGAGAACTCGCCTGCGGCGATGCGGCGGTCCAGCTCCGCCTTGTTCCACTCGAGCCCGCTTATCCAGTGGACGCCGAGGTGATGCTCTCCTGCAGGCCACATGTTGACGCGCGCCTGCTCGAGGACGACAGAGTTACGCTGCCAGCGTCGCGACGAGTCCATCGCCGAGAGAGACGACACGTCTCTCCCGGCCCGACTGTCTGGTATAGCCCCAGCCGACGTGAACTCTCGAGGGATCTCGAGTTGCACGAACTCTGAGTTGCACGGACTCTGTTCACACCGAGCAGCTGGGAGTGGCTGCGGCTATAGCAGACAGCCGGCCCGACTATGAATAAACGAAAGAAAAGAAACCGAGAATGGGAGGACGGACAGGGATTTTAAGGAGAGCGAGAGGGGTGTGATGCGCTAGCCGTCGCCCACCCTTGGGCGTCCGCCTCTTCCTATCTCTCTTCGCAGTCTCTCGCCGATTCTCGCTGCAACCTTCATGCCACCTCGCGTTACTAGTCTCGCGTTTAAGGAGTCGCAAGTATTTCTTTTCTCCTCCAACTCCATGTCCAGGCTGGGGGGGGGGTCGACAGACGACACGTTTCACTGAGGTCTGAGCGGAAAAGATAAAGAAATTACCGTGCACGACAACTCACCATCACGACTCGACTTGACTCTCGATGACGCGCACGAGGCACGTACACGGCTCTATCCGCGTTCAGGCTTCAGCTGAGAGTACCACATCTCCTTCCGACATCTTAGACCTCATGCGTCAGAGTGGGACCTACGCCGCGCCGGGTGGGGGGCGCGCCCGGTCCTCGACGGAGCCGCGCGCCCCAGGCGACCCAGGCGGCGAGTAGTCGCTCTCGAACCTTCGGCATGTAGTAGTCCGTGGTTAGCGCCCGCGCGCCCGCCCCCTCCCCTCTCGTCCCTACTCGAACTGCTCCGGAGGCGCCCGCGGCATTCCCGCCGCCCATCTTCGGGTGCGCGTTGTTGTCGAAGATGGCAAAGTTGCGCCTCGCAATGATGGTCGAGTGCACTTGCAGGAAGCGCTTGCGCTCGCCGCTGACCCGCCATCGTTCGCTGTCGGAGGATGCCCGGGCCAATTTGGCGTCGAAGTTGGTGGTGAACCACGCCGCCGCCTCCCTCCCGATGCCGCCGCGCGTGCTCGCCGCCCATGTCATGAAGTCGTAGTTGTTGGCGTCGCACGCCGCGGCTTTAGCTCTCCTCTTCGCCGCCTCGGCGTAGTCGGTGGCGAGGCGCGTGCCGTGCGCCAGCGGGCGCAGCATGCTATAGTGCACCGAGGTGACGCACGTGCCGTCGTACACTGTGGGGCGTTGCGACCTCGTCCAGTTGCCGAAGACGCCGTCGCCCCGCTGGTACGGGTTGGACTCCGGGTCGTGCGCCCGTTTCGGGTCGTTGCAGCCGAGCCTCACCTCCATGACTTTCGCCGAGGCGCCAAAGGCACGGGCGATGTCCGTGACGTGGGTGTTGAGCGAGGTGTGTCCCATGGCCAGCCAGCCGCCATAGTTGCACCCGTCCGGTAGGTAGGTAGAAAGGTGAAGAACAGTCAGGCTCGGACTGGACACCAACGCGGTATGGCTGGACGCTGGACAGATGATGACGGCACGCACGAGCGACACACAGACACAAACAGGCCCACAAGACACACAGCCAGCGGGCTGCCACACACCCTGTACCCTGAGTAGGCGTACACATAACTCAAGGCCACATCCTCCCTGTCGCCCCCCCCAGCACTCCAAGGTGCCAAGAGAACAAACAAGGGCACAACAAACAACAGACGACAGGAACCGACATGCGAGGCTAGAGCAGCTTGCTCTACCTCCAGCAATCTCGCCGGCCGCAGGGCACGGACAAGATCGTGTGTGGGGTCTAGTGAGGTGTCTATGGACGCCCTCCTCAGAGGCTAGCTGCCTACTGCTAGCCCTATCTCGCACTCACGGGCAGTGACAATTCAATGGGTGAGTGTTTGCGAGCAGAGGCGCGTGGCGGCTAAATCTAGGCCGCACGTCGTGGCACTATGACGAAGTTAGACGTGCGACCGCAGCGCGCCCGCCGCAGGCTCGGCGGTGCGCGCGTGTTAGCGAGAAAGTTGCGGGTGGAGCCATGCCCGACTTTTCGATGGTGAGGCCTCTACGACGAGTCTTGCGCGCGTATTCTTTTTTCCTATGTCGAGGCTGCTCCAGCGAGCGCGCGCGGCGCAAAGCGACCCGCCGCAAGATGTAGACGGCGCCTCTTCCGACAGCGACGAAGGGGAGTCCGACTCACCGGCAGCCTCTCCCGCGCGCCAGCGCGGATTCAGCGCCCTGCTTGGGAGTGACGAGAGCGAGGAGGAGAGCGAGGAGGCGAGCGATGACGATGCGGAGCCCGAGGAGGAGGAGCAACGGGGCAAAGGTGCGGTGTGTGAGCAGCCAGGCGAGGTGGGCGCAACCTCAGAACGGCCGAGCACTCCGCCCGAGCCGCGGGTCCGCCGCGGCAGGGCCAAGAACAAGCCGAGAGCAGAGGGCCGAGCCGAGGAGGAGGAGGACGAGGAGGAGGCGCTTCTGGCGGCGGCGCAGGAGCAGGCGCGCGCCGCCGCCGCCGCCGCCGCCGCCGCCGAGCAAGAGGCGAGCACGTGGCGGGTGGAGCCGCAGTCGCTCAACGCAGAGACTGAGCTGCGACGCCGGTTCGGCGCGAGGGCGGTGCGGGCGGCGCAGCACGAGATGCGGCAGCAGGCGCGCGGCCTCGGCGGCCGCGGCGGCCGCGGCCGCGCCGCGCCGCGCCGCAGGGGGCTGCTCATCACCCCGAAGGCGGAGTGGCCTCGGCCCGACGCGGCGCGCCAGGGAGGCGTTCTCGGGAAGCGTCTCGGAAGTGTCTGTAGGCGGAGTGGCCTCGGCCCGACGCGGCGTACCAGCAGAGCGTCCTGGGGGGCGGCGAGGGAGGCCAGGTGCTGTACACCTACCAGCCGACGGCGCGGCACGCGGCGCTCAGGCGCGAGTCCCTCTCTCTCCTCCCTCCTCTCTCCTTCCTCCTCCCTCCTCTCCCTCCCTCCCTCCCTCCCTCCCTCCCTCCTCCCTCCTCCCTCCTCCCTCCCTCCCTCCTCCCTCCCTTTCGCGGCACGCGGCGCTCCAGAGGCGCTGACACAGCTGCGCCCACGCCACACACCCCTCGTGGGCCGCACGTGCCGACAAGGGGCGGCGTGGGCTTTGGACGCGTCGGCCTCGTGCTGGCAGGCGCGAGTTCGAGCTACCACACCACCCTAGGACCCGAACCCACCCTGGATTCGATACTCTGGAGGTATGGTACGCGCAGGCGCGAGCTCGAGATGCTCGTGCAGCACACCGCCGACCCACAGGCCCTCTTCGACCTCGTGCGGCACGAGCCCGGCCACGTCGAGGCGCTGCTGCAGCTGCACGCCGTCGCGCGCCAGACGGGGCAGCGCGAGCGCGCGGTCGAGCACCTCGAGCGCGCCCTCTACTCGCTCGAGCTGGGCTTCCACCCCACCTTTGCGCAGGCATGGCTCCGCGGCGAGGCGCGGCTCGACTATGACCAGCCGGCAAACCAGCCTCTCTCGTCACCGGGGACATGTCGAGGACAGGTCACCTGTCCCAGGACACGTGCGCGACATGTCCCGCAGGCCAACCGCCCTCTCTTCACCGCCCTCCACCTCCACGCCGCCGGGCTGAGCCAGCGCGGCTGCCCCGCTGCCGCTCTCGCCGCCGCCACGCTCTTGCTCTCGCTCGACCGATCGGACCCGACCTCGGTCCTGCTCACGCCTCTCTCTCTCTCGGCTCTCTCTCTCTCTCTCTCTCTCTCTCTCTCTCTCTCTCTCTCTCTCTCCCCCTCCCTCCCTCCCTCTCTCTCTCTCTCTCTCTCTCTCTCTCTCTCTCTCTCTCTCTCTCTCTCTCTCTCTCTCTCTCTCTCTCTCTCTCTCTCTCTCTCTCCCCCCCCCCCTCTCTGGCCCGACACGCCCGCCACACGCCCACCCGCAGGTGCTGCTCTGGCTCGACTCCCTCGCCCTCCGCGCCGGCCGGCCGCACCTCCTCGCCGAACTCGAGAGGGACCCCCCCTAGAAACCTCGAGAGGGACCTTCCCCCCCTAGAAGCTGGAAACGTCTACGCTTCAGCCAGCGCTCGAGAGGACACGGACTCGGCACTCTTCGACCGCAGTCCGCGTGTGCTCCTCTGTGGCTCGAGTGCCCCGCTCAGTGCCCATGCGCTGCACTGCCCACTCTGCGCAAGGCCGTCTCCCCGCCTTGACCTCGGTGTCGTCAGCACGTAGGACCTCCCCGTCGCAGCCTCCCTCCCGGGATGGGCCTTCTCGGCCGCCCTCGCCGCGCGCCTCGCAGCGGCCGAACTGCCCGCCCCCTCCGACCCCTCCTCCGCCGCCGCCGCGTCCGCCGCCGCCGCGTCCGCGTCCGCCGCCGCCGCGTCCGCCACTGGCCGCCTCGCCTCGGCGCTTCTCGCTTTCCCGGAGGGGCTCCCCGCGCTCCTACCGTCGTCGAGTGCCGCGGCCGCCGCGCCGCTGCTGCTGCGGTGGACTGAGCGCTTCGGCCCGGGCGGCGGCGGCAGCAGCCTCTCGCGCGCTCACTTGGTCGCGCTGTACGCCGAGCGCGCCGCGGACTTGTGGGCGGAGGGGCCGCGCTGTGAGTGGCTGCTCGGCACGGCCCGCTCGACTCTGGACGGGCTCGAGGCGGCGACGCGGGCGGGCGACGAGCTTCGAGAGCGGCTGGCGGCGGCGAGCGCGGCGACGCGGCGGTGGTACGCGGCACGGGAGAGGGCGAGCGGGACATGTCCGGGACATGTCCGCGACACGGCCGCGGCATGTCCCCTAGGTACCCGGCGCGGGAGAGGGGGAACCGGTACGCGGGCGACCCGTTCGCCTCGCTGCAGTCGGCCGAGGTAGTCATCCCTGACGACGAGCCGCCGCCGCCGCCGCCGCCACAGCCCGAGGCGCCGCCGGGACAGGCGGCGGCGGGCGGCGGCGCGGCGGGCGGCGGCGCGGCGGGCGGCGCGGCGGCGGCGCTCGCACCGCTCCTCGAGGAGACGGAGACACTGCGGGCGAGGGTGGACGAGTTGCAACGCCTCGTCGGCCGCGGCGCACCGCCGGCGGCGCTGCGCGCGGCGATCGATCAGCGCCTCCTCAACCTGACGGAGAGCCTGACGCGCCACCACCTCGCCGTCGACGCCGTCGCCGTCCCCGACGAGGTGCAGCGCGCCGCGAGACGGGAGCTCAGCCGGCAGATCGAGGCGATGTGCGAGCGTGTGGACGGAATCTCGCTCCAGGTGCGCGCGGGAGCTGGGGAGTGATGGCCTATGGCCTGATGCGAAACAAGAGACGGCTGCGTGCTGGCGGCGAGGGCGCAGGGCGAAGGCGGAAGGGCGTGTGCGTCGTGCGTGTGTGCTGCCGTGCATATTATTCTGAGATAAATAAATAATTTTATTTATCCGCAGAGCTTCGTTTTTTCTCTTCTCAAAATTGTGCACCTCTTCTCAAACGATAGAATGACTGTAGAATGAAGAATCTCGGTGTGAGAGAAAAACACCGCACTCGCAGCTAGCCGGGGGTGCAACACGCGCCGCTGCCCCGTCCCGGGGGAGGGGTAGGGGGCAAGGCGGGCGAGCACTCGCCGTCGGCTGCTCGGTGCGCGACACGGTGCCAGAGGCGCCTCAGAGAACAGTCACAGAGCGGTCGGAAGCCCGCCGCTCCCAGTCCCCCAAATGAAGTCAGGTGCGCTGCAACCTCGCGCCGCCGCCGCCCGCCTGGCTGCCGCCCCGGCGCTGTGAGGGCTGCGTGCTGCGGAAGAGCTGCGGGCACGCGCCGGCTTGCGCGCCCTTTGGCGAGGGCGGCGGAGTGGGGTCCGCCGAGCGCTGGCTGCTCGTCGAGTTGGCGCGGCTCACCCCGTGGGCAGACGCCTCCTCCGAGTCCGAGACCGACAGACGCACGGCCCAGTTGATCGCGACTACGGGGAGGTTGCGCCTCCATCAGTGGCGCAGGGGGTGCGGCTTTACCCGTCTCACAGCCGAGAGAGCGCCGGCCGGCTTTTCCGAGACTACCGTTGTGCGCGCCGCGTACCCCCGCGCGCGCTCGCCTACAGGGAGGCTCGGAGAGGCTTTCAGAGAGGACTCGGCGAGCGGCCTCAGCGCCCGCGCTCTCGCCAAAGCTTGGCGAATCGGTGGACACGGGATCGGCCGCGGCGGTCACCGGCGCCTGCTGACGGCTCTGCGGCGCCTGCGCGTCCGGCGAGAAGGCGCTGCCTCCATCCAAGACGCCGCCGCCGGTGCGCTCGTACCAGTGAAGGGCACTCGCGGGTTGGCCCTCGGGCAGGTTGTTGGCACCCGGGCGGACCCTCATCTGGTTAGGATCCGTCTGCGCCCACGCCATGAAGTCCTGCATCGTCTCAAACTGTGGCACCTCCTCGCCTGTGTCCATGAGGGAGCGAGAGAGGTGAGCCGATGGCGCGGAGGCCCTCGCACTTGATGTCTCCTCTTCGCCTGGGTATAGCGCTTGCCAAGCCGTCTGCGCGTTCGTTACCATGGCGGCGGTGGGGTACAGCTGCTCGCCATTCGTGCACATCGCGACCCAGGACACAAGTGGTCAGCCAGGGCCGAGGCCATTCGGCTCATCGCGGATAAAAAAGAAATCCGCGCCGTTGCGTTTCAAAGCCCGCAATTCTCCTCTCCTCTCTGATCCCTCGAGAGTTCAGCAGTTCACGCGGAGTCGGCTGGATACCAGACAGTCGGGCCGGGAGAGACGTGTCGTCTCTCTCGGCGATGGACTCGTCGCGACGCTGGCAGCGTAACTCTGTCGTCCTCGAGCAGGCGCGCGTCAACATGTGGCCTGCAGGAGAGCATCACCTCGGCGTCCACTGGATGAGCGGGCTCGAGTGGAACAAGGCGGAGCTGGACCGCCGCATCGCCGCAGGCGAGTTCTCCGCTGCGCAATGCCTCTCGCGGCTGACCGACGGAATGCCAAACTTCCACGGCCCGATCAACGGGCCCGGTCGTCCAACGCTGGCGACCAAGTGGAAGCAGAGGGTGAGTGACGCGTCCGCGGAGGACATCGACGCGCACGTCGCGGCGTTGCGCGAGCACGTCGCGAGGCAGGTCGCGCAGCGGCTCGGTTTGCTCCACGACGGCGACGCCGCGACGAAGAAGCGCGGCGCGGATGACGCGGCGCGCAGTGCGCCGACACCTGCCCCGAAGCGTGCGCGCACACAGGGGGGCGAGGCGGCCGCCACGTGGGCCTGCGGCCTGCGCATTCAGGGCAAGCCAGGCGACCCCACGCCGAGCGGCCAACCGCTCACCACAAAGATCTTCGTGGCGAAGGCAAACAGCGTGCAAAAAAACCAGCAGGAGCAGCTGGCAAGGATCAAGAAGGGCGAGCTCTCCGTGGACTACGCCCTCTCCTGCATGCGCGATGGCGGCCCGCTCCGACGGAACTGGGGAGCGGCGGCCGACGCGGCGGTGCGGCAGCACATCGACGCGCTCTGCAAGTTCCTGCGCGAGATCAAGGAGCAGGCGCGAGCGGGGACGTACGCGTGACGAGTTCTGTTGGGAGTTCCGCGGTAGGCTACACATCTAGTTGTGCGATGGGCAATACGTTTCGAGCCCGATGTAATGCATGTGCGCGCTTGCGCTTCGTCGAGGGCGGCTGCATCGGCTGTCCTTGTGGTGTCGTGAACCACGCTGAGTTGTGCGCTGGCCGGCACCTGGCCCCCCGGGTAAGGTAAGGTAAGGTAAGGTAAACTTCTCCACACACACGAGGTGGTGGGGCAAGGGGGGGCAACCCTCGCGTCTCCACGTCTGACGACAGGAGCCCCACGGCATTCAAAGTGCAAGGCCCAGTGCGCGTGGGTGAAGGCCCCCCGGGGGTTGTTGCGGGTCGTGTTTCGCGAATCGCGATGGTACGTGACATGCACTCTGCAGTATTGAGCGTGTGTCTTGAGGGAGTTGAGTGGGTGGTAGCATGGAGCACGTCCGGTGTTGGAAGGAGAAGTATTACTTTTATTGCATGTTTGTGTGGCGAGCGGAAGCCGGGTCCCGGAGCCGGCGCGCGGCGGGATGCCGCTCCCCGCGCCCAAGCGCCCTCAGTCTGAGGCAGCCGCCGCCGGCTTTGATGCGAGCTCGATGCCCACGGCTCGCGCCACCTCGTCGAGCGCCTGAACGGAGATGCAGCCGACGTCTAGCCGAGGACTGGCTGCGGCCACCAGAGGATCTACCCTCTCGTCGGGCGTCGGCGCTCTTCCTCTACTTGTACTCGCCTGCCGCGCCGCCAGCGCCTCCCTCCTCGCGTCGCGCGCGTAGCCGGCAGCCTATCCGAGACGTCGCGGACATGACGCGCACACGTCGTGGACATGTCGAGGCGGCCTCCACAGGTCTTATCGACCCTCGCCACAGCTCCATCTCGGCCACAGCGCGGCCACCTCTCGGATACATCTCCACGTCCCGGCCGCCTTTTCGGCTCCCTCGTACTTGGTCGCGCCGGTGACCAGGAAGAGGTAAGTCAGCATTGCGTTCTTGTGCTGCGTGAAGCTCGCGCCGGCGGCGCCTGCTCACGGCACACGGGGCGGTGTGACGAGACGCCGCTCTCACTGCTCTCACCGCCACCGGCCGCCCTCGCGCCTGCGCCGAGCCGCTTCAGCGCATCCTCCTGCAGCAGGTTGGCTGACGACTGCAACGCGCCCTGTCGGCCGAGGGGAGGGAAAGAGGCGTCGTTCCGTGGCCAGATGGAGGCAGGGCGAAGTGTCGGGTTCGCCTGCCGGCCGAGCTGAACGAGGGCAATCTCGGCGTCCCAATCGGCAAGCACGCCGTCCAACTTCCGCGCCGTCGATATCACGGCAAGGTCGTCACCGCTCGAGACGGCGGCGGCACTGAGATCGCCCGAGGCGGCGGCAGTCGGCGGTCGGCCGAAGGCGACGGCAGTCAGCGGTGCCGCCAGACATGCCCTGCGCGAGAGCTGCCCGAAGGCTCGGCGCGGCAGGAACTCCACCCCTTTCGTGAGCGGGAGGAGGAGGAGGAGGTGGCAGAGCACAGCGAGGTGAGCAGCCGACATGCCTAGGGATTAGTTGCGAGACATTTCCGACACACCTCGCGATGCGCTCCCCGTTCCCCTGTGTCCCTGATCGTCCTTACAAGATCCTGCTCGCGCAGGTGGGGACCCTGTCCTTCTCCCACCCCTTGTTTGGTGTCGCCGTTTTATTTATTCTATGTTTGCGATTTGGATTTTGGATTTTCCACTGCACTTTGTTTATTTATTTATAGACACCTCCGAGACACTTCCGAGACACTTCCTCTTCGGCCGCATCCCGCTGTACTCCGCCGTATTCGTATCCCCCTAGTGCTCACGCGGTGCTTCTGGAGACTCTGCACCCCAACCGTACTCCCGCCCCGAGGGTGGCGTACTCACACACCGACGGTCTCGGGCACCGCACCCGTGCTGCCACAAAGCACAATGTGCTGCCACAAAGCACCACTAGCGATTTCGCGCGGAGGGCGTAGTGAAGTGCTGGGGCGCTCACTGTGTGTTATTCGGGTGGGGATCCATCAGTGGTAAGCGGCTTTAGTCACAGATCCAAGCTCAGACGTCACACCAACACCACAAACACGCTCACTTCGCCGCTGCTGTAGATGGGCCTCCGGGGGCCCATGCTACGTCGAAGCACAGACCCGATCTCGGCACTCACGGGCTGCCACGCGCCCGCGCGCGGCGCGGGCCGCACCGCCCATGCCCCCGGGTCACCAACCCCGCCTCTCGGCCCTCTCGGCCCTCAGGAGCGTGCGGGAGACCGGCGAGGGGCGCGCCGCGCGCCGCCTGCAGAGCCGCCAGAGGCATTGTCGCCTCCGCTGGCGGGGTTCCCGCGCGCCCGCCCGCGCCCGCCCACGCCGCGCCCGCGGGCTCCGGATGCGCCGCCCTCCTTCTTCTTCTTCTCGATGGCAGTCCACGCGTGCTTGTCGACGGGTCGGCGGCGTGGTCGAGGGGGGAAGGTCGCCGGCGGCCGCAACTCCGCCGCCGTCGCTCCGCCGGCTCTGATCGAGTATCGGGCGTTGAGGGCGGCGGCGCAAAGCGGGTCTGGCGCATCCATCGCCACGAGCCTCGCGGCCGCGGTCGTGGCACACCTGGTGGCGGCTCTCGAGGCCGTCTCTACGGCGCTCGACGCCGTGTGAGGTCGCCGGCGGCCGCAACTCCGTGTCTCCGCCGCCGTCGCTCCGCCGGCTCTGACCGAGTATCGGGCGTTGAGGGCGGCGGCGCAAAGCGGGTCTGACGCATCCATCGCCACGAGCCTCGCGGCCGCGGTCGTGGCACACCTGGTGGCGGCTCTCGAGGCCGTCTCTACGGCGCTCGACGCCGTGTGAGGTCGCCGGCGGCCGCAACTCCGTGTCTCCGCCGCCGTCGCTCCGCCGGCTCTAACCGAGTATATCGGGCGTTGAGGGCGGCGGCGCAAAGCGGGTCTGGTGCGCCACGGCCACCACCCTTGCCACCGCCCTTGCCGCCGCCCTTGCCACCCTTTGCCGCCTTGCCTCCGCCGCGGGCGGCGGTGGGAGCGGCCTGCTGGGCTAGCATGTTGTCCGTGCTGTGGACGGGCACGTGGAACGTCAATTCATGTTCGAACGGCCTCCGGGATTCAAACAAAAATAGCCGGGGCTCTCTCGCAACCCCTCCGACCCCCCGGGACCCGTGGGCGCCGAAGAGGCGCTCTCGGGGGGCCGTTCTGAGTTCATGCTACCACGAAGCACACTGTGCTGCGTCGAAGCACCGGCCCCGAGTCCGCCGAGGGCGGCTGGAGCACCTAGGGCTCTCTTGCCCGCAACCCGATCCCGATCATCCGGCCCGCTGGGTGCGCTCCTTAGCTCCCCGGCCTGGATGTGAGGCTAATGACTGCACTCCAAGTGCTCCAAGTGCACCTGCCTGGCGCTCGTGCTCCTCCCAACACCTGCCTAGCGAACCTCGAAGACCATCCGCGTCGCCGAGCGCCAGTCCCTCTTCAGCGCCAAGCAGCTCTCCCAGCGCTTCCCCCTCTTCGGCGCTCTGCCGCCAGGTGGAAGCTGCCGCCAGGACTATCCCTGACCGCCGGTTCTCTTCCCCTAGGCTCCGACGTCAGTTCCGTCTTCCTCGCCGACGAGCTCACCCTCCGCGTCACCAAGCGCGTCCCCATCGGCGGCTCCGTCATCATCGTCGAGCGCCTACGCGGCGACTTTCGCCCCGTCGGTCTCCCCGGCACTGCCGCCCTCGCCGGCTCCCTCACCACCAGGGCCAACGTTGGAGGGCTACGTGTTCGAAGATGTAAACCATAACGGTGTGTACGACGAAGGCACCGACATCCTCCTCGAAGGCGTGCGTGTCGTCATCAGCAACGGGACAGTCACGTTCACCGTGTACACTGACTCCGCAGGCTTCTACAGCCAGGTGTTGCCATCTGCAGGCAATTGGACCGTCACCAAAGACGACGTCGCGTACGCCGCCTCAGACAATTCAGCTCAGCTGACGAAACTCGATGACGCGGCGGCCGCTGCGGAGGCAGCAGCGAATGCGACGGAGGCGGCGCTGAGCGAAGGCTTCTCGGCTGCGGCTGCTCAGGCGGCGGGTGAGGCAGCATACAACGCCGTGCTTGGTGGCGCAGTGGAGGAACAGGCGGCGGCTGCCGGGGCCGCGGCGGCTGCAGCGGCGGAAGCCGCCTTAAGCGGTGGCTACTCGCCCGAAGCTGCCTCAGCGGCGGGCGAGGCGGCGGGTGAGGCAATCGATGCTGACTTGACGGCAGAGGAGGCGGAGGCGGTGGGCGTGGCGGCGGCAGCAGCGGCGCAGACAGCTGTCGACAGCGGTCTTTCGTCCGAGGCCGCTGACGCCGCTGGTGCAGCTGCAGGCGCTGTTATCATCTCCGGCGCGACGCTCGACTCGGACGGCGACGGCGGACCCGATGCCGAGGAGGGATCGAGTGATGCCGACAGCGACGGCATTCCGAGCAGGCACGAGTCGAACGACGAGGACAGTGACAGCGATGGGATGACCAATGACCTCGACCCGGACTCGGACGGCGATAGCACGCCCGACGCCGAGGAGGGCACTAGCGACGCAGACAGCGACGGCATCCCCAACTACCTCGACCCCGACTCGGACGGCGATAGCACGCCCGACGCCGAGGAGGGCACTAGCGACACCGACAGCGACGGCATCCCCAACTACCTCGACCCCGACTCGGACGGTGACGGCACGCCCGATGCCGAGGAGGGCACGAGCGATGCAGACAGCGACGGCATCCCCAACTACCTCGACCCTGACTCGGACGGTGACGGCACGCCCGATGCCGAGGAGGGCACTAGCGACGCAGACAGCGACGGCATCCCCGATCGGGCCGAGTCGAATACTGAGGATGCAGACAGCGACGGCGTTTCCGACTACCTCGACCCCGACTCGGACGGCGACGGCACGCCCGACGCCGAGGAGGGCACGAGCGATGCAGACAGCGACGGCATCCCCAACTACCTCGACCCCGACTCGGACGGCGACGGCACGCCCGATGCCGAGGAGGGCACTAGCGACGCAGACAGCGACGGCATCCCCGATCGGGTTGAGTCGAATACTGAGGATGCAGACAGCGACGGCATCCCCAACTACCTCGACCCCGACTCGGACGGCGACGGCGGGCCCGACGCCGAGGAGGGCACTAGCGACACAGACAGCGACGGCGTTTCCGACTACCTCGACCCCGACTCGGACGGCGACGGCACGCCCGACGCCGAGGAGGGCACGAGCGATGCAGACAGCGACGGCATCCCCAACTACCTCGACCCCGACTCGGACGGCGACGGCACGCCCGACGCCGAGGAGGGCACTAGCGACACACACAGCGACGGCGTTTCCGACTACCTCGACCCCGACTCGGACGGCGACGGCACGCCCGGCGCCGAGGAGGGCACGAGCGACGCAGACAGCGACGGCATCCCCAACTACCTCGACCCTGACTTGGACGGCGACGGCACGCCCGATGCCGAGGAGGGCACGAGCGATGCAGACAGCGACGGCATCCCCGATTGGGCCGAGTCGAATACTGAGGATGCAGACAGCGACGGCGTTTCCGACTACCTCGACCCCGACTCGGACGGCGACGGCCTGCCTGACGCCGAGGAGGGCACGACCGATACGGATGGCGACGGCGTCCTCAACTACCTCGACCCTGATCTGGCAGCAATCGCGGGTTCAGCGGCGGCCGCCGCGGCTCAGACGGCCGTGGAAGACGGCCTCTCACCCAACGCCGCAGCGGCAGCCGGAGCCGCCGCTGGCAATGCCATCCTTGCTGATCAGACCATGGAAGAGGCGGCAGCAGCTGGTGCCGCGGCGGCCGCTGCAGCGGAGACGGCCATCACGAACGGCCTTTCGGCTGAAGCTGCCGAGGCGGCGGGCGAGGCAGCGGGCAGCGCCACTATATCTGGCAGTACGGCCGCGGCCGCTGCCGAGGCCGGCGCGGAGGCCGCGGCGGCGGCTGAGGAGGCGCTAACCACGCTGAGCCAGACGGTGGGCACTCATAGCACAGTCGTCTACGTGCCGGAGCTTGGCGTGGGCACAGACGTGGACGGCTATGTACAACCGTCGTACGTGCAGGGGCAAGTGTTTTCGTCCGCAGCGGCCAATAGCTTCGCGGCGGATGAAACACTCGCAGGCGTGGAGCTCATCGTCACGAACGCGGCGGGCGAGACGCACACTGTCACCACGGATGCCGCTGGGTACTACAGCCTGAGTGTTACTCCGGGCGATTGGACAGTGACCGTCAACGCGGCGACACTGCCCGCCGGCGTGGTGCTCGCACCGGGCAGTGCCTCCACGGCTGTGGTGGTGCCTTATGGCGGGTTCGGCGTGAGCGCGAACGCGGCGGCGCTCACGCCTTATGAATCCCCTGAGCATGTCTCGTTCGTCGTGAGTGCGTTACCGGCGCCACCGCCCTTCTTGCCGCCGCCATCACCACCACCCTTCTCGCCGCCGCCGTCGTTGAGCCCCGCGCCGCCCCCGTCTCCAAAGCCCCCGCCGTCGCCGCCAGAGCCACCACGGCCACCGCCCGAACCGCCTGCGCCGCCTCACCCACCCATGCCTCCGCCCTTCTCGCCGGCAGCGAGCCCGACCGGCTCGAGCCTCACAGGCGACCCGCACCTCCACTTTGCTCACGGCGGTGAGGCCGACTTCCGTGGTGAGGACGGCGGCTTATACGCGATGCTTCACCACACCGGCCTCGCCGTCAACGCCATGTTTGAGGCATGCGCCTTCTTCTTGGAGTCACCCTCATTCCTGAAGGTCCGTGGCACCTTTGTGACGGACGTGTTTTTTAAGATCGCGACAGTGGCGTCAGGAAGCCTGCTGCGCGTCGAGTTCTCCCCCAACGCGCCTCCCACGCCACTGATCCACGGCCTCAATCACAGCGGGATCCGGCGACTCGTACCGGGCGAATCGCTCGTCGCTGAAGATGTCTCGATCGCGTTCGCCGAGCGCGGAGCGGCCGAGGTGCTCTACGTACGTACAGCCGGCTGGGCGGTCAACGCGACCGCACGGTTCATCCGGCGATCCGCGACGACCCTCAAGAAGCAGGTCGACCTCTCGTTCCTGCCGTTGCGCGACCCGCTCGAGCAACAGCAAAGGACGGGCAAGGTGGTGGCGCCGCACGGGCTTATTGGGCAGTCCTTCGACGGCGACAACATTGCCGTGGACGGCAACAAGGACCACTACCGAGAGCTATGGTGGCGGCAGACCTCCCTCAAAGGCAGGGAGATAACGACAGAGGCTCAGGCCGAAGGCGCCATAGAGGGCAGTGGCGAGGACTATCGGGTCGCCGACATCTTTGCGACCGACTTCAAGTATCGCAGATTCGCTGTCGCCTCGGCGGCACCTCGCAACGCATCGGCCCTCACGGGAACAAAGCGAACCGTGGCGGCGCCACTGGATTGGAGCCGCAGTGTCGCAGGCGCATTAGGGGGAGATATAGTGACGCATTGGTAATGAGCCATCCCTAGAACCTGTAGTAAGGTAAGGTAAGGTAAGGTAAACTTCTCCACACACACGAGGTGGTGGGGCAAGGGGGGGCAACCCTCGCGTCTCCACGTCTAACGACAGGAGCCCCACGGCATTTAAAGTGCAAGGCGCCCGGTGCGCGTGGGTGAGCGGTGTGTGTGTGTGTGTGTGTGTGTGTGTGTGTGTGTGTGTGTGTGTGTGTGTGTGTGTGTGTGTGTGTGTGTGTGTGTGTGTGTGTGTGTGTGTGTGTGTGTGTGTGTGTGTGTGTGTGTGTGTCACGTCACTGCATCCTCTGCCGGTTCCTCCCGTCGCCTCTTCTTTGTTCGAATGTTTTTCAATCCATCCTTCACGAAGCCCTCCCATGTAGCTAGCGTTCTTGGCGAATGTCTCGAAATGGCCAGCAGGCGCTGTCTGCTCGCGGCCTGTGCGGGCCGCTCGTGCTCCTCGCCCTTCTTTCGTCCTCCCGTCCCTCCCCTCCACCATGGCCTCCTCGGCACTTCGTTCTCCATCCGCCTCGCCCTGCCTTTTCGTATTGTGCCGTTCGCCCTCCATTCGGTGACCTCCATGGCTGTCCGGCTCCTTTTGGGTGGCGCTCTCGATATCGTTGCGTCAACCTCGACGTCGCTGTCGCCCTCCCCGTCCCCGCCGTCGCCCGTGCCTCGGTTCGCGTCATTGGTAGCGTTTCCGTTGCCTCCTCGTGCTCCGCCGTCGCCCTCTCTGCTCGGGCCGTTCGCAATTTCGCTCCTCCTGCGTGTCGCCCCTCCGTCTCCTCCCCTGCCTTCGTCGTCATCGTCGCTGTCGCGAAAGCCCTCCGGTCCCTCGATTCCCTCGTCTATCCCCTCCGCTGCGTCGTCCCAGTTTATATCCTCATCCTCTGTGCACTTTTTCGTTCCCTCCCCTTCTCCATCGTTGTCGCCTCCGTCGACTGCGGCGCTGTCTCTGCCCTCGCCTCCGTCCTCCTCGTCTCGCCTGCCGTCGTCCGGTGTCTCCTCGTCCTCGCCATCGTCTTGGCCGTTGTCTACCTGTTCATCGTGTCCCTTGCTGCTGGTGGCATCGCCGTTATAATAAGGCAACAAGATCCTTGCGCCTTGCCGATCCGCACCTACCTAGGCTCTTGGGTGGCGCGCCCACTCTTCACACCGTGGTTTTTGTTCTTGTCCACGCCACCTCTTTCGAGGACTCGACGGGGCTCTGCTCCGAGAGACCTCGGAGAGCGTGCGTGTGCCTCTACTCGCCAGATGGCCAGCTGCTCCACGGCCAGCAGCTCCACGCTCGTCGACTCGCTGTTGTGCGACATGCGAGCAGGCACTATATCGGCACCCGGCGCTGCGGCACAGGCGGCACCGTCAGCGCCCGCCGCGGCGTCCTCTCCCGCGGTGGACGGCGAGGTCGAGCGCAAGGCGGCGTTGCTGCTCAGCGTGGGCGAGGAGTGCGTGAGCGAGGCCGAGCTCCGCTCGCTCGTCGCCAAGAAGCCCAGCTTTGTCCTCTACGACGGCTTTGAGCCGTCGGGCCGCATGCACATCGCGCAGGGCGTCTTCAAGGCGATGAACGTCAACAAGTGCACCGCAGCGGGCGGCACCTTCATCTTTTGGGTGGCCGACTGGTTCGCACTGATGAACGACAAGATGGGCGGCGACCTCGACCGAATCAAGCTCGTCGGCGAGTACCTGATCGAGGTGTGGACGGCGGCGGGGATGGACATGTCGCGCGTGCAGTTCAAGTGGGCCGCCGACGAGATCACAAAGCACGCCGGACGCTACTGGACGCTGGCTCTGGACGTGGCGCGCCGCTTCACGGTGGCGCGCGTCTCAAAGTGCTGCCAGATTATGGGGCGCAAGGAGGGGACGCTCACCGCCGCGCAGATGCTCTACCCCATCATGCAGTGCACCGACATCTTCTTCCTCGGCGCAAACATCTGCCAGCTGGGCGTCGACCAGCGCAAGGTCAACATGCTCGCTCGCGAGTACTGCGACTCGGCCGGGATCAAGCTCAAGCCAATCATCCTCTCGCACCACATGCTCTACGGCCTCGCGCAAGGACAAGTCAAGATGTCCAAGAGCAACAAGGACTCCGCCATCTTCATGGAGGACTCCGCCGCCGAGGTGCCACTGCCTCCGCCGCCGAGATGCCACTGCCTCCGCCGCCGAGATGCCACTGCCCCCGTCGCCGTCGCCCCCGCCGCCGTCGCGCCCCTGCTGCCGTCGCCCCCGCCGCCGTCCAGCCCCTGCCGTCGCCCCTGCCGCCGTCGCTGCCGCCGTCGCTGCCGCCGCCGCCCCCCCTGCCGTCGCCCCTGCCGCCGTCGCTACCGCCGCCATCGCCTCCTCCGCGGTTGTCCCTGCCACCGCCGCCGTCGCCGCAAGCCCACAACCGCCACCACACCGTCACTGCCGCCACACCGTACCTCGTGGGGTGGTGGTGGTGGGGGGGGGGGGGGGAGAGAGAGACGTCGGACTTCTTCCCTCCCCATAGGTGGCGCGCAAGCTGGCGCAGGCGTACTGCCCGCGCTCGGCGGACGGCGGGGCGGCGAGCGGCGGCGGCGGCGCGGAGGAGGAGAGCATGCACCTGGTGCAGGACGACCTCAAGAACGGGCGCCTAGAGGCTGACTACGGACGTCGTGTCGCCCAACTAGCACTCGAGAGGGCCGCGTAGTCGGCCCGCCGTTTCTTCCTCCGCGCGTCATTATTCACAGCACTCGCCGTATTCACAGCACTCGTAGCCCCTCGTCCGCACGCGCGGTGCTCTGAAGACGCGGCACGAGACCGCCTCTCCGCAGGCTGAGGTCTGCGCACTCGCGACGCAGGAACCCGTGCCTCGACTACGTCAAGCACATCGTGTTTGCGCCTCCCGGCGCCACGTTCAGCGCGGGCGGCACCTGCTTCCGCGACTACCGCGCGGTGCACGACGCGTTCGTGTCTGGCGCACTCAGCGAGGCAGACCTCAAGGGGGGGCTGACCGAGGCGGTCAACGCACACGCACACACGCACACACGCACACACACACACACACACACACGCACACGCACACGCACGCTCTCTCTCTCTCTCTCTCTCTCTCTCTCTCTCTCTCTCTCTCTCTCTCTCTCTCTCTCTCTCTCTCTCTCTCTCTCTCTCTCTTCCCCCCCCCCCACACCGCTCACCCACGCGCACCGGGCCTTGCACTTCGAATGCCGTGCCAGCTCCTGTCGTCTAGACGTGGAGACGCGAGGGACCAGCCTGGCCCTTGCCCCACCACCTCGTGTGTGTGGAGACGTGTACCTGACCTCACCTGACCTTAGGCGGTGAACGCGCTCGTGCAGCCCGTGCGGGAGCACTTCGCCACAAACGAGCGGGCGGCGACCATACTGTCCACCATCACGGGCTGGATGGCGGAGCCGAAGGCGAGCCGAGATATGGGGAGATATGGGGAGATATGGGGAGATATGGGGAGGTATGGGGAGGTGTGGGGAGGTGTGGGGAGGTATGGGGAGGTATGGGGAGGTATGGGGAGGTGTGGGGAGGTGTGGGGAGGTGTGGGGAGGTATGGGGAGGTATGGGGAGGTATGGGGAGGTATGGGGAGGTATGGGGAGGTATGGGGAGATATGGGGAGGTATGGGGAGGTATGGGGAGTCACGGGCTGGACGGCGGAGCCGAAGCCGCCAAGCCCTCCCCCGCCCTCGCCGCCTCCGCCCTCGCCGCCTCCGCCCTCGCCACCGCCTTCTCCGCCGCCGCCCTCTCCGCCGCCCTCGTCGCCGCCTCCCTCGCCTCCGCCGCCGCCGCCACCGCCCTCGCCACCACCGCCCTCGCCGCCACCGCCCTCGCCACCACCGCCCTCGCCGCCACCGCCCTCGCCGCCACCGCCCTCGCCGCCACCGCCCTCGCCACCACCGCCCTCGCCGCCACCGCCCTCGCCGCCACCGCCCTCGCCGCCACCGCCCTCGCCGCGCGCCAGCTGGGGCCGGACCCGCGAGCACCTCGCTCATTCCCCACTCGGCTCTCGACGCGTAGGAGCTGCGGGCGAGCCCGCTGCGGAGGCTGCAGGCGCTGCCCGACGGCCACGGCCCCGCGTGGGCCGTGTTTGCGCCGCCTCCCTCCCTCAGCCCGACCGCCGGCGCGGCGCTCGACCTGCTGCGCTGCCTGCGCGCGGCACCCGACGGGTGGACGCGCGTCCTCTGGCTGAGCGACTGGTCGAATCTCCCCACAATCTCCCCACAGTCTCCCCACAATCTCGCCACAATCTCCCCACAATCTCCCCACAATCTCCCCTCATCTCCCCACAATCTCGCCCCATCTCCCCTCATCTCCCCACACCTCCCCACACCTCCCCACACCTCCCCATATCTCCCCACATCTCCCCATGTCTCGCGCCGCAGGTCGGCGCTCTCTCTCAACTGCGTGAGCGGCGGCAAGACCACCGCCGACGACCTCAAGGCGCGAGACACCTCCGAGACACTTCCGAGATACTTCCGAGACACCTCCAAGACACTTTCGAGACACTTCCGTGCCGCCGCTGGCACGCGCAGGCGATCTGCGCCGCGCAGGACCTGCTCGTCGGCTGCTTGCGCGCGCTCGACCCGCAGCTGATGGCGGGCGTCGTGGTGCGGCGGCAGTCCGAGGCGATCCTCTCCGATCCGTCAAACTACTGGATCTCGGTCATCGACGGTAGAAGCGGAAGGCGGATTCGTGTACTCCAACCAGCGCTCGAGAGGACACGCACTCCGCCGCACTCGGCCGTACTCGGCTGTAATCACTGTCCTCGTGTCCCCTCGTACCCACGCGGTGATCTGAAGACTCCGCACGAGACCGCACTCCCCGCCCCGAGGCTGGCGTCTCTCACACCGCAGGTGATCAACGCCGGCCGCGCGCACTCGCTCGGCGCCATCCGCGCCGCCGACGAGAACAGCGAGCAGGTGGGCTTCGTCATCGCCACCCTCATGGCCGTCGCCGACGCGCTAGCGCTCGGCGCCGCCGCCGGAACGGGACGCGTGCTCTGCTGCAGCTCGCCGCGAGACGCGCGCTCGCTGGAGCTGGCGGTGGCGTACTTGGAGGGCTGCGCGGCGTACAAGGCGGCGGGGCTGTCGCCGCCAGAGGTGCGGGTACCCCCCCCCCCACCCACGCACACCGCTCACCCGCGCGCACTGGGCCTTGCACTATTCATGCCGTGCCAGCTCCTGTCGTCTAGACGTGGAGTCGCGAGGGACTAGCCCGGCCCTTGCCCCACCACCTCGTGTGTGTGGAGAAGTTTTCCTTACCCTACCGTACCCTACCTCAGGTGCGGGTGGTGGAGGGCGTCTCGCTGGCGCTCAAGGCGGACGCGGCGGCCGCGGATGCGGACGCGGAGCTGCTGCTGCTCGACGGGCAGCCCGACGTGCAGCGCAAGATGAAGAAGGCGTTTTGCGAGCCGGGCAACACGGCGTTCTGCCCGCCGCTCGCGGTCGCGCGCGAGCTGGTCCTCGGCTGCGGCGCGTCGCTCGAGGTGAAGCGGCGCGAGGAGGACGGCGGCGACCGCGCCTTCGGCAAGGCCGACGGCGGGCAGCTGGCGAGCGAGTTCGCCGCCGGCGCGCTGCACCCGGGCGACCTCAAGCCGGCGGTGCGCGACGCGGCGTGGGGGACGCTCTCGCGCGTGCGCGCCGCCGTCGCCGCCGACAAGGCGCTGGCGGCCGCGGAGAAGGAGGTGGCCAAGGCGGCGAAGAAGAATAAGAAGAAGTGAGTCACGGAGACCAGCTCGCACGTGGCCGCCTCTCACGTTGCGTGGTGCCCCGACGCGCCGCACCCCGCAATGGCTTCGAAAGCGGGTGCGAGAGCTCTCCTGGCTGGGCAGGCGGCTACCCGCGTTGAGCACCTGACGGCTTTAGGTCGCAAGTGTTTGTTTTCTTGAGCACTTGATATGATGAAAAAGGGCATACCGAAAAAACGCGGCCGTGCGCGCGCATTCCCCGTTTCGGGGTGTCGGATGACGGTGACTCCAGCGCCACTGGCACACTGCAGACCGAACCCTCCCGAAAAAATCCTTAGCTTTGTTGTGAAATTCTAAAGTCCTATCTTAGACGATGCATGCTACATCACATTACAATCTAACTCGACTCTCGAGAGATGCTGGTGGGTTCTACTACAGGTTCTAGGGATGGCTCATTACTGTTCAGCTGCAGGGTTCTTTATGGGGGTGGTCGACGACTCGAGCCGGGGTCGTCCTCTTCGCTCTTGAGCCAAGTGACACGTGTGTGAGTGTCGGAGCCTTGTAGAAAAGAAGGTTCAGCGTGAGTGCCCCCCCTCTTGCGGACTATTCTCAGCGAGTTCGACCTAATCTGGGCGTCTGCTGGACAGGCGGCAGCAGAAAGTGGAAACATACAAGTGGGGGGATTAGGACGCGGCGCAGACGGGGCACAAACGCAAACGCTCACCTCCTCATACCAGACCGGGAGGCCCCGTCGCATTGGCGGCGGTTAGACCGAGCGCCTGGCCACAAGATGGGTCCAAAGAGAAGTTTCTCCCTGCGTGGAGTCGAAAGAGGCTGTGTCTGTCGTGGTTAAACGGCGTGGGCCCTAGACGGATGCCGCCAACCTGCCTGACCACGCAGCCATCGTCCAAGAGGGCTTTTGTTGCGACAATGTCATCGCTGTGGAAGCAGCGAGGGTCGCGGGAAAATCGGAGCCGTGCAAATACACAGCGCACTTTGCTGCGACGCCAGCGAAGCCTTTCACTGTCATCGTCGGGTTCCTCCTGAACAATGTGGGCGTGAGCGTGGCCACGGGCCAGCGCGGACCGCCACTCCACACCACATCAGCGCTACTGCTGCGGCGCAGTCTGTGAAGGCTGCTCAGGAAAAAGCGGGGGAACACCTTGTCGTCGTCTCCGACGACACAAGTCGCTTCCTGTGGAACCAGTGAAGCTCCATAGTACTTGAGCAGTGGTCCATGATCCTCTCTTACGTGGTTTGCCACTGTCGGCACATGACCGCTCGATTCGTTCGCATGCAAATACGTGCTTACGTTCGCCTTGCCGAACCGACGATAAAACTCAGGGACGGTGACGACGATGGCTACAGGCCTGTGATGCTGCGCTGCGAGCTCTGTAGCAAGCTGTGGCAGACGAGAGAAGTGAGGCGGAATGACCGCAATGGTCGCGTTCAAATGCCCGGAACGGACGTTACAGTGGTGTCCGGCCGGCGCGATCACCGAGCTGTGAGTGACGCTCAGGGAAGCCGGTTGAGGTGCTGGTTGGTTTCTTTGCCCAGGGCTCTACGAGGAATGGGACATGGGGACCAGTCAGTCGGCGCCGCGTGGCGGCGCCTCGTTGAGCCCGCAGTGCGACGACATCGTCACATTACAGCGGGAGGCGACCTTGAATTAACTCTCCTCGGCGCGGACGGACGGACGCGGAAATTTGGAACCATGCTGATATCGCGGGCGTGGCGGTTGAGCGCTCAGCAAAAGAGTAGAAACATTCGTTGCAACAGTCCAGCGCGGAGGATAGATTTTGACTTCGACAAGGTCTTCCAGCAGCAGCTTTCCGAGGACCAGGCCTCCAACACAAAGAACCCCGAGCGAAAGCTCAAGATGAGCCTCGCGCAAATGGAAGACCTCATGTTGCAGCTCAAAGCTAGCCCAAACAACGATGCGCTGATCGGTAAGTACAAGCAGGCCCGACGTGAGGCGCTCACACAGCGGCACAACATAGTCATCGCGCGGGATGCGATGGGACTCACGGCAGGTAACGCCGAGCAGGTCTCGGAGATGTTCCCCATTCCCGGACCCTATCGAGTGGGGTGACGCTGTAATCAATGAATTTGCGGAGCTGTCCCCTTCCGCCTCCCGCCGCGCGGCGTGTGCATGATGGAGGGGTGCATTCTGTGAGTATTCCGGCTGGGCCCCGAGAACCGCACCTATTCGGCGGCTTAGCGACGCGGCGAGCGGGCTGGTGGAGGAGACTGTACGCACGGGTAAGTCTTTTCTCCCCGCAGCTGAGGGGGTGGGGTCGGAGTTGCACCGTCCGTTTCGCGCCCATCAGCGACGATGCTCTCGACGCTCCGACACCGTGGCGGCAAGAGGAAGGTGGGCGAGAGCGGAGCCGCTGCTGATGAGGGCCCCGACGATGGCGACGGCTATGCCGTCAAGATGCTGCAGCTTCTCCTCGATGTCGCACGGCCCAAACAAGCAACTTCTCGATCGCTGGCCGACACACTCGAGCTCGTGGTAGAAGAATGGAGTGTTCACGCAGCGGAGATGCAAGGGACCACGTATGAGATCGTCGGCGGCGAAGAGCGTGCCAATGCCAAGAAGAACCTGCGTCGAGGGTCGGAGACAAAAAGCGTTATGAGCATGGTGCTAGACGCGGCCGGCACAGATGAGCTGCCGCAGGCAAACCCCGCTTCTCTATCTATATGTTCTTTTTTACTCTGGAGCGCGGGCGGTGCGGTGGCAGGCGAGGGCAGCGCGGTAGGCGAGAGGCGGCCGCGGGGCTTCGAGTGGCGCGATAGGAGGGTAGGCTGGCTGTGGAGGGGCGCCGCGTGGCCTCGGCAAATGAGTAGTGCTTTATGAGCGGCCAGTTTTGTGCGTATTGCATATCGAGCCTGCGGTGTGGCCTAGTTGGTGCAGCGTTCGGGTCGGGGACGTTTTGGTCGTTGGTTCGAGCCCAGCTGGTGCAGTTCGTAGTCGCGTAGCGCGCGGGTGCGCGGCAGCCTCGGCAACCGAGGCGACAGTGGCGAGCAGGGGCGAGCAGGGGCGAGCAGGGGTCAGAGCAGTGCGGCGCGCCGAATTTTTTTCGATGGGCTCGGTCAGTGGGCGTGTCAGGAGGCGGCCGGCCGGGAGAAACTCGGCAGTAAAACTCCCGCGCCGGCCCAGGAGGTGGGAGTGTCACGGAGGCGGCCATTGGCGCGCGCTCCTTGTCTTCGTGGGTCCGAGTTTTTTTTTGTGAGCACTGTGAAGACCGTGCGCCGTCAGGACCCCGCCAGGACTCTGTCAGGACTCTGTCAGGACTCTGTCAGTCAGGACTCTGTCAGGACTCTGTCAGGACTCTGTCAGGACTCTGTCAGGACAGGTGCGGGAGGTCCTCAATGAAACCAGGTTCAATCTCTATGACGCAGCCATAGTAGATGGCTGAAATGGCTGAAATGGCTGTCCCCCAGCCATCTTTCCCAAGATGGCTGCAATGTAGCCAGGTCAGCCAAGAGGGCTCACCGCGGGCGGTGTGGCTGCGGTAGTGCGTCTCCAGCCATGTCTACCAAGGATGGCTGCCGTGTGTGTGTTGCAGCCATCGGGCTGAAGGATGTGGCTGCACTGCAGCTAGCTCAGCCATCCTTAGGTAAGATGGCTGTGAAGGAGCCAGCACAGCCATTCTGGTGTTACATTCCGAGGTTAGCCAGTTGTATTAGAGTCCACAACAGCCCCTCGGCAGCCCGACCTACAGGTGTGGATAGTAGGTGGGGGTGCGTGTGTTGTAAAATGATCTGCCCCCCCCGAGGGGGGAGCCGGCCATTATGTCTACACGTCTCCAAACCGCCAGCCCATCGACCATCGTCGTCCCCCAAACTTCCGTATCGCATGCACCATGTTCCCTTCGTCCCACATCGCACAACCACAAACCCGCCTCGCCCCAGCCGTGCCTCAGTGCCCAGCATCCGCCCTCGTGGTCGCGAACGGCGCCGGTCGGCGCGTGCGGCTCTGCGTCAACCAGTACGGAGCCCGAAATGCGTCCAAAAGTAAAAAAATCAGCTTTCCGCGCCTCTTCACGGCGAAGAACCCTGCACAAAGACCGCAGGGCGGGGACCTGTTCCTTTTTACCCATCTCCTATAGTAGAGGTGTCCGTTTTATTCATTTACTGCTCGCCGCCGCGCAGGCGTGTTCCGGGGGCCCAGTCTGCCCCCAGTGGAGCATTTCATCCAGTGGCGTCACCGGGGTTTTGACATAGTGCGGTCTCTAGGTACGTGGCTGGGTTCACAGCGATTGTAGGAAAATGACGGGAACACTTGACGGTCGCGGCCTTCCGACTCGCGCCTCCGCCTCACTGGCACTATTGTAGCCCTGGCCGGTGCGCGTGTGGAGTTGAAACTCCCGAGTAAAAATTCGAACGCGTTCTCTCACGGTGACCAAAAAATGTCCACCTCAGAGGCACCTCCGGAGGCAGGCCGCCGCACGCCGGCGACACAGCTCCAGCTGTCGAACTGACCCGCAGCTCCTCTAAGAGCGGGAACTGTGACAAAAGTTGACTGAGGCGGTTGTCAGGAATCATCATACGGATCACATGGTGGCTCTCTCATGACGGAAGACCGCCCGACCACTCCTGGGTGGCACTGCCACCGGTGTCGCTCGACGTCCTGTCGACAGCGTGCCGACAGCGACACAGACCATGTGGGACGCGTCGAGTATCGACCTCTACTGCTTACCCAGCCTTCGAGTGTATCCTGGTTGTGGTCCCACACCCACTGGTGTCCATCTCAGAGACCGCAGGAGGTCATGAGGGTCGATGGGAGTGCCAACCCCACAATGCCTAAAAACCCAGCCCAGTACTAGGAGAAGACGCTCGTTCGAACATATTACACTAACGCGGTACGCTGGGGGGACACAATGCTCGCACGGGCTTGAAGCACGACAGGATACAATGCTCGGATACCTACCTATCTGTGCCATGTGCGTCCTCATCATCTAGATCATCACGGGCTTGAAGCGCGACAGTATCGTGCACATGGACTTTGTGGTGGTGGTGGTGGTGGTGGGGGGGGGGGGGGGGGAGGGCAAGGGGAGAGAAACATCCAAAGAGGAAAGGGGGGGGCGGGGGGCAGGGTTCCAGGTGGAGCCGGTGCAGCTGTCGCCGGAGCGTTGCCGGGGGGGCGCAGCAGAGGAAGGGTGGGTGGTGTGGTGTGGGGGGTGGTGTGGTGTGTGGGGAGGGGGGAGGCGCCTGTTCGCTCTGCGCGAGGGCCGAGAGCGCGGCGATGCGGCACGTGTGGTGCGACGACCCTAGGTGGCGGGCGATGGCGTCCGCGTGTCTGTCGACGTCAAAGGCGCCGACGCACGCGATCGCGCTGGCGGTCAGCGGCTCGACCTCCACGACCGGCGGCTCCACGTCAAGTAACGGCCGCACGAGTGGCGTGAGCGCGTCGACGCAGACGGGCAGGGCCGAGAGCTTGCGAGCGAGGACGAGGCCGCGGCGGTGGGAAAGCGGCGGCCGGCCCGGGGCGAGCAGGTCCATGATGGCGCACAGGTGCATCGCGAGAACCTCCTTTTGCAGCTCGAGCGAGGAGGAGTAGGCGGCAGCGGCGGTGGACTCGTCGCCGCTTGCGAGCCGCTTGAAGATTTCGGGCGCGAGGGGGCACTGCTCCTGCAGCGCGAACAGTCTCTCGAGCGTCAGTGCCTCCACATCTGCTTTTTGCAGCGCGACGTCGAGCCTCGACACCGCGATGCGCTTGGCGAACGGCACCGCGTTGCGTAGCGCGGAAGAGCTGCCTCCGGCCAGCGCAATCGACCGCGCGTCGAGCAAACCGAGGCTTAGCTCAAGGATGGCGGTGGGCAGGTCGACCAGGCTGATGTGGGCTCGCCCACTGAGCGGGCTGAGGCGGGCTTGCTTCATGTGACCTGCTGGGTGCTCCCCTCCGCGGTCGCCGACCTGCTGATCTCTGAACGTCGAGGCTGTGAACGCACGGTGCGCTCCCCGGCCCGCTCTCGATCTCTGCTTGCTGCGCCGTGCTATTCTCTCTCTCGATGCACGACGGCGCGGCGGCCACCGGAGCCGCCCGCGCGGGGACCGACGGCTCGGGAAGAGCAGATTTTGCAAGATCTCAACGAGATCCGACATCTGCGCGGTCATTTTTGGAGTGATCTTACCGCGTCATGACGGAGTCTTGATACCTCTCGGACGGAGCACCTCTAACGGTTCTCGCTCCATATCGAGATTCTTCTTGCCGGACGGCTCTTTGGCCTGCACAAGCTTTTCCGGCAAACAAAAAGGAAAACAGAGGGTCCCCAGCACTTTGCGTTTCCGGAAATTTCCAGGGAAAACAGAGGGTGTTTGGTGCTCCATTCTGGAAACTCGCGAGTTTCCCTGAGTCTGAGAGCTGGTCTGGGGCAAAATCTGACGCAAAATTGAGGAAATCGGCACGATACCCAGGCGGTCGCAGGATATTTTCCAGGTATACCCGGGGTTTTCCAGGTATACCCGCAAAATACCCGGTATTTTGCCGATTTGGCTGATTTTGGGCCCAAACCAGCCTCAGACTCGGCTCAGAGCCCGGAATTTTTTTGATGGTTTTCCCGGGAAAATAGAGAGGAAAAGAGAGGGTGCTGCAGAGAAAAAAGGAAAGGAAAAGAGACGGGGTGCGAGAGGAAAACCTTGTTCAGCCTAAACGGCTCTTCCTGTTTTGTGGGGCGCGCTGAGCTCTGTGTCAAGCTCCGAGGGCAACGTAAACAAGTGCATCGCTTCGATAGACCGAGCGCTACCCAACGCGGCCAAAGGATACTCGTATCCACCTCGAGAACCTCGAGACAGCACTTGGAGCACTTGGAGTGCAGTCGGCAACCTCACATCCAGGGCCGGTGAGCTGAGAAGCGCATCCAGCGGGCCGGATGATCGGCATCGGGCTACGGGCTAGAGAGCCCTGACCCCTAGCTAGGGGGGGGCGCGCATTCGCAGGGCAAGGGCCTTAAAGTAAACACGGGTCTCCGAGGGTTAGTTCTGCGCTTTGGGTGTCCCCTAGCGGCGGAACGCCCCCTCTACTCGGAGCTAGTAAAGTGTACATGTTTTCTTTCTTTTTCTACTCGGAGCCAGTGAGACGAGAATACGCACATCTTACAAGAATACATACTGCCCCCACGGAGCACTACTCGACGATAATACAAGAAGAATACGCAGCTTGGAAGTTGCAGACGCCTATAAAGAAAAAACACCCAGCTAGATTTCGGCGGCTAAAAAGCAAAGGACGGGCGCTTTTGATCGGCAAAGCAAAGTTGGAGTAACGGCGACCGCGTCGCCACAATGCCAGTCGCCTGTCGAGCAGCCTTGGCGGCGCGCATGCGCCGCAGGGTTGACCGACAGCCGCGCGCCTCGAGCCTCTCGCTCCACTCGCGGCACGACGCGCCCCGCGCGCCGGTCAGCGCAGCAGGAGTATTGCGACATGCTGCACAACGCCAGGGACAGCACTGAGAAGCTGGCGCCAGTCGCCCACCAGCATGTCTCAGCACCGGGTGAGGGAGCATGCTGCGCACGCTGAAGCAGCACGAGGTCACCACCAATCAGGCCCTCACGCCACTGCACGGCCGCCCTCGAGCACCAGCAGCCGCGCTGCGCCATGCTCAAGCTCAGGAGGCCACCCTGCTTCTCGCAGCTTTCTGCAGCGCAGCGAGCGAGCAGCGCCGCACCAGGCGGACCCATGGCGTGTTCAGCCAGCCGTGAGGCGGAGGCAGGCCGAGTGAGCGCGAGCCGCGCGGGAGGCCATGCCCCGCGCACCCGCGAGCGAGTGGCACGAAAGAGTGCAAGTCGCGCATGCTTTTGCGTAACGGTCGAAAGCTAGCTGACAGCAACCGCTTTATTCCCTTTTCCAAGAAGTCCGACGTGGTGGGGCTCCACGCGGATCGGTGGACGCGGCAGAGTAGGACGGCACGCGCGAGCGACACACACACACACACAAGCTGCTGGGAGCTCGTGCCGATCAGGCGATGGACTTTGCAGGCTCGGCCGCCTTTCCGCTGACAGGTGGCCTGCTCTGCGCGGCCGCGCTCGTCGGCGCGCTCGACGCGTTTGCGCCGCGTGTGAGCGGTGCGACTGGGCTGCCGCTCATCACCGTGCACCTCCTGGCCGGTGCCGCCGCCCGTGCCGTCGGATGGCTCACTCCTCCGGCGCTCGCCGTGCTCGCGCCGCTGCACACGGCGGCGCTCGGCGTCATCTCCATCGCCGCCGGCGCGGAGCTGGAGCCCTCGGCTGTGCGGCAGAGCGGCAGGGTGATTGGCCACCTCGCGGTCGCCAACTGCGCGTCGGCGCTCGCGTTCGTGTTTTGCTGCTCGTACGTCTTCATCGGCCCCTCCGCCTCCATCGGTCTGGCCGCCGGCGACCGGCTGGCGGCCGCGTCGCTGCTCTCCTCCGTCGTGGCCATCGCGCGGTCGCCATCGAGCGCCATCGCGCTCGTGGCAGAGCTTCGCGCCGACGGCCCGTTCACGCAGACGCTGCTGGGCGTGACCATGGTCACCGACTTGCTCGCGGTCGTCCTCTTTGCCATCTGTGCCGAGGCGGCACAGGAGGCGCTGGCGCCTCTGCGCGAGGGCGAGGAGGCGGGCAGAGCGCCGCTCGCCCTCGCATGCGGCGTCGCGGTGCGGATGCTCGTGCAGGTGGCTCTCTCGGTGGCTCTCGGGCTAGCAGGCGCCGCCGCCTGCCTCGGCTGCCTCCGCCTGCCCCGCAGCTCTGCGGGCTGGCGGCTGGCGCGGACGTGCGCGTTGCTCGGGCTCGGAGGCGCCGCCTTCTGGGCGGAGCCGGCGGCGCGGCGCGTGTGGCTCGGCGGCGCAGAGGCAAACTCCGCCCTCGCCACCACCGCCCTCGCCACCACCGCCCTCGCCGCCACCGCCCTCGCCACCACCGCCCTCGCCGCCACTGCCCTCGCCACCACCGCCCTCGCCACCACCGCCCTCGCCGCCACCGTCCTCGCCACCACCTCGTGTGTGTGGAGAAGTCTACCGTGCCTCTGCCCGTTAGGCGGCGGGCGGGTCGCTGCCCTGGGTGGAGCCAATGCTGGCCTGCATGGTCGCCGGCGTCGCCGGCCGCAACGCGGACGCGCTGCGCGCGGCGGCAAAGTCTGGACTGACCCGGCGTTGCATCCCAGGCCTTAATGCGCGTCTCTCCACGGCGTGTAGCATGCCTCGCGGCCTCCGGCGGAAGTTTGCGGAGGAAGGGTACGCTGGCGACGTGGAGCTCGGCGAGAGAGAGAGGTGACCGGCCCCCGGCCGCGGCGGGAGCTCCGCGAGGTCTAGATGGCCGTGTCGTGGACGTGTCGTGGACGTGACCGCTCAGGCGGGCGGGAGGAGGGCGGGGCGCGCAGCTGGCGGCGCTGATTGACGGGGCCATGCCACGAGTCCTCCTCTTCTTCTTCACCACGACGGGCGCGGCTCGCAGCAGCCCCGCGTGGCCGCGCGACCTGCGTGGCCGCGCCGCCGAGACTGTCCGAGACTGTCCGAGGTGATCCGAGAGGATCCGAGATTAGGCGGCTCGATGGAGCTCGGAGTGCTGCGCCGCGCCTGGCCCGCCGCCACCGCCTTCTTCGCCGCCCGCCTCGGCGCGATCGCCGCAGGCACCGCCGCGGGAGCGGCGAGCTCGGGCGCGCCGCAGGTGGCGATGCTAAAATAGACTATCGGGCCGGGGGGGGGGGGCACGCACGCGCAGCACAACTCAGGCGAGGGGCTGCAGCACACTGCAGCACACTCAGGGCGAGGGGCTGCAGCACACTCCACGCCGTGAGGCTAGCACGCACACATGGCAAGGTGGCCGACGGACCACGACGACACGCCTGCCGCAGGCGATGCGCCGCTTTGGCTGGCTGGGCTTCGTCACGCAGGCGGGCGTCTCGCTCGGCCTGGTGGACGAGATTGGCGCGAGGTTCGAGTGGGCGGCGCCGCTGCAGTCTGCGCTCGCGGCGTCCATCGTCCTCAACCAGCTCGTGGGTGAGGCTTGGCCGAGATTGCAGCCGAGATACAGCCGAGATTGCAGCCGAGATACAGCCGAGATACAGCTCGTGGGTGAGGCTTGGCCGAGATTGCAGCCGAGATACAGCCGAGATTGCAGCCGAGATACAGCCGAGATACAGCTCGTGGGTGAGGCTTGGCCGAGATTGCAGCCGAGATACAGCCGAGATTGCAGCCGAGATACAGCCGAGATACAGCTCGTGGGTGAGGCTTGGCCGAGATTGCAGCCGAGATACAGCCGAGATTGCAGCCGAGATACAGCCGAGATACAGCTCGTGGGTGAGGCTTGGCCGAGATTGCAGCCGAGATACAGCCGAGATTGCAGCCGAGATACAGCCGAGATACAGCTCGTGGGTGAGGCTTGGCCGAGATTGCAGCCGAGATACAGCCGAGATTGCAGCCGAGATACAGCCGAGATACAGCTCGTGGGTGAGGCGTGGCCGAGACGCGCCCGAAATGCGCCCGAGACTGCCGCTCTGTTTGGGGCGCCTCCCCGCCACCATCCACACGCCTCTCGACGCCTCCCTCGCCCCTGGGGCCCCCTCCCCAGGTCCTCCGATGCTCAAGCTCGCCCTCCGCCGCTCGGGCGAGACGGACGCCCTCGCCGAGCGGGGCGAGCCGCTGCTAGGGCAGCGCTTGGCCGACACCGCGACGCCAGAGGTGGCCATGGCCGTGATGGCCTCCGCCGCTGCCGCCGCGTCGGAGATCGGCTCCAGCGTTGCGGAAGCGTACGGCGCGGCGCTGGACTCGTACGCGCCGCGGAGGGACTAAGAACGTATAGAGTACAATCGGTGGGGCAGTAGTTGCATCGCTTCTTCGTATTTTTCCACCTTTTCCGCCTCGGGGTCGCGGATTTTAGGTGGACCCCTTCACGCTGGCCGCCGTGCCCGTGGTAAGGTAAGGTAAGGGGTAAGGCTACTCTAAGGGGTAAACTTCTCCACACACACACACGAGGTGGTGGGGCAAGGGGGGGCAACCCTCGCGTCTCCACGTCTGACGACAGGAGCCCCACGGCATTCAAAGTGCAAGGCCCAGTGCGCGTGGGTGAGCGGTGTGTGTGTGTGTGTGTGTGTGTGTGTGTGTGTGTGTGTGTGTGTGTGTGTGTGTGTGTGTGTGTGTGTGTGTGTGTGTGTCACGTCACTGCATCCTCTGCCGGTTCCTCCCGTCGCCTCTTCTTTGTTCGAATGTTTTTCAATCCATCCTTCACGAAGCCCTCCCATGTAGCTAGCGTTCTTGGCGAATGTCTCGAAATGGCCAGCAGGCGCAGGGTTCGTGATTTCACATCGAACAAGTGGCGTTAATACAGCCGGCCCGAGCCATTGCCGCCTCCAGCCTGGCCGTGAAGCTGATTGCATCTGATCCATCATCGCGTTGGCTGCGATGGCGAGCGTGCACGCCGAGGACAACAGTGGACGCTGCAAGCGCTTGCAGCGCTCGAGACGCGGCAAACGGCATCCGCAGTTGGAACAGGCGCTCAAACAAGGCGCCGTAAGCCGGCGCCTCGCCGAAGCGCATCAGTCCCACGTAGCGCGCGCGCGCGGGTGGCGAGAGGGGGGCGTGCGCGAGCCAGCCGAGCACTCCGAATCGCTCCAGCACGCCGAATGATACCACAGGCTCTCTCAGGCGGTCCACTCCACACGTCCGCAGCTGCAGCCTTGTCAAGGAGTCGTTCCAGCGCTTGCCACCGCCACACACGTGTACGGCGCGAAGGGGCGTACGTGCGACTCCGGTCCAGGCCTCGAGCAGCCTCGAGGACGGCACCCACCCTCGCAGCTGCAAGACTGAGTCGCAGGCGGCTTGCTCCGTGTCAGTGGTGCAGGAGTGCGGGTTGCAGTAGTCCCAGAGCAGCGTGCGGCCCGAGACCACGGCGAGGGCAAAGGCGTTGAGCATCTCGTGCAATCGATTGCCGACCTGCGAAGATGGTGGTCCGAAGGGTGGTGGCGAAGGCGGGCGGTGGGCGGATAAAGTGAGAGGGCGGTCCTGGTGTGGGCATGAGTAGTATCCAAGCACGAAGCGCCGCGCCGTCCGCTCAGACGGTTGCACGCGCCGCAGAGCCGCAATGCCGTGCTCCGCCTGGTACTGATCGAGCAGCACCCCGACCGTGTTCGCATCCCACGCACGGCCGAGCGCCTTGGCTGCCATACAAGCTTGTCCAAATTGCACAATAGCAAGTTTGTAGCCCCACTCGTCTTCTCGCTGAACACAGTGTATATGCCCGAATGGCTTCGCCTCTCTCGACCACGGCGCACTCCAACAGTGCGTCCGACTACTGCCCGCCACTCCTGTGTGTAAAGCTGCTCGTCGCGATTGCATCGTATGGCACCAGCAGTGACCACCACCTGCGGGCACTCCTTGCACATCTGCACCTCTTCGGAGAGCGGGCTGCCTCATGGCTCCGCATGGACGTCGTTGTCGACAGGACCCACACCCTGCCGGGGGCGAACGCCACTGTGCGTATTTGGCCGCACTCCGTCAAATTCGAACTCACCGGGAAGCACCGCGTGCTCTTTGCGGCGGCAATGGGTAGTCACTCGCACGACTGGTTTCTCTACACAGAGGACGACCTGATGCTCACCCCGAGCTTACTGCTCCTGCTGCTCAGGGAGAATGCCGCGGTCGCCGAACGCGCACTCATCGTGTTGCCTCGACGGTATGAGCTAAACAACGGGAAAAGGCTTCTTACCGATTCCACCTATTCCGCCTTCTCCCGTCGGTTGAATGCGACTCTCCTCAGTGGGCCAGTCGCCAAGGGCGTGGTGGAGATTCAAAACCGGACGTACTTGCTCGCGATGTCCGGCTACGCTGGCATGTTTTGTACCTGCTCTCTAGGCGGAAGATGCTTGCCGCGACGGCGGAGTACCGTTCGCAGACATCGCACAACTGGTCGGCCCCGCACAGCTTGGGCCCGCACAAGACGCTGAGGGAGAGGAACGCGGGGCTCTGGCTTACGAGGAGACCCGGTGCAGGGCTTCAGGTTGCCTACCCGGTGGATCGACTCGAGGACCTGCTCGTGCACCACGCGAGCGACCGATACGCGCGTATCAACTCGCCACCTCGAGAAGAGGGCATCCCGCCGGGGGACCTCGCCCTCATCTCAGCGGAGCACTTTGGTGCGGCGGTGGATTGCGCGCTGACCCATCGGCGAGGGAGCTGCTCGTTTCCGTTAAAGCCTCGCGAGGGCGCAGATGTTGGAGGCTCGTGCAAGCAGATGTGCCATGCGCCCACCCGGCAGGAGCTGTGACCTTGCGATGCGGCTCCGACCGCGCGCCAGCGAGGGCAGAGGACCCTCCGTGTGCGCGCGCGGTAATCAATGTGCTTTTTTAGCAATAACAAAGACAAATCTCCCAGTACCGTAGCCGTCGTCTCTCGTCCAGCCTGTCCAACCCCGGTGTGCCGACGATCGTGCAAAAGAAATTTCACGGCCCGCCGAGCGACCCAGTTCCAGAGACCGTTCCGAGACAGTTCCGCGACAGTTCCGCGACAGTTCCGCGACAGTTCCGCGACAGTTCCGCGACAGTTCCCCTCCCCTCCTCGCCGCCGCCGCAGCCGCTCGCCCTGCCCTGCCCCGCCCGCCCTGCCACCGCGCCGCTCCTCCGCGACGGGCTGGTGTGCGTGGCCGGCGCCGCATCGGCGGCGGCGGCGGCGGCGGCGGCGGCGGGCGGTGGCGGAGGCGGAGGCGGAGGTGGAGGCGGAGGGGAGGTCCGAGTCGGCGCTGCGTCGCGGCGGTAAGAGTTGTGTACCGAGCGCTACTATCGGCGGTGGGGTCGGCGGCAAGCGATTCTGCACAGGGGAGGGGGGGGGGTGAGAGGGGTGAGGGGGAGAGGGGGGTGAAGGGAGGAGAGGGGTGAGGGGGGTGAGGGGGGGAGGAGGAGAAAGGAAGGGGGGGGGGGGGGGGGAAGTG